CACAGACAGATCAGAGCTAATCTCTGAATAGCACGCTGCTGTTGCTGGGGAAACAGATGGGAAGTGGCTCAGCCTGTTGTCAGTGTTTAGAGGGGCAACGTGTAATACCTGGCCACCTGCTCAAAGTAATAGGGGGCAGCATTTCACCTCCACGGGCTTAAGTTTTATTCATCAGATATAAAAAAAACAGGGCAAACAGGTTGTTAAAATACAGTTGCTCACACATTGCTTGATAAAGGTGTGTGTGTGTGTGTGTGTGTGTGTGTGTGTGTGTGTGTGTGTGTGTGTGTGTGTGTGTGTGTGTGTGTGTGTGTGTGTGTGTGTGTGTGTGTGTGTGTGTGTGTGTGTGTGTGTGTGTGTGTGTGTGTGTGTGTGTGTGTGTGTGTGTGTGTGTGTGGTGTGTGTGTGTGTGTGTGTGTGTGTGTGTGTGTGTGTGTGTGTGTGTGTGTGTGTGTGTGTGTGTGTGTGTGTGTGTGTGTGTGTGTGTGTGTGTGTGTGTGTGTGTGTGTGTGTGTGTGTGTGTGTGTGTGTGTGTGTGTGTGTGTGTGTGTCTCAGCACAGCAGTAAGCTCAGTAAGCAGAAGTTGACTCATTCCCTCTGGTCCAATTAGACCGCTGCTGACAGGCTGAATGTATTTATTGATCACTCTTGAAAATGTATGTGTGAAGAAAAAAAGAAATTCAGACCAGATTATAAAATATTCTGTCTTCCCTGTTTTTGTAATCAATTGCACATTGTTTTCAACAGCCACAAAAAAAGAGGCCAGATTCACTCTGCTGAAACGTGAAGGCAACGATCTGGTGAAGAAAGGAACCTTCCAGAAGGCTATGGAGAAGTACACTGAATGCCTCGCTTTAAAACCGGAAGAATGTGCGCTCTACACAAACAGGTACGCATGAAACCTGCTCTCACATAGAAGGATATGTCCTTATTGAACTCGGAAAAGAACATTGCCTGCTTTAAAGCCACAGGTAGATTACTTGTACTTGTATTTGAGTATTTCAATTGTATGCAACCTTACACACTACACTACATCTTAAATATTGTACTTTTTATTACACAACATTTGTCAGAGAACTTTAGATACTCCACAGACTACACAATCTCTATACCCTTCCTATCCAGTGAAAACCATGCGAATCTAGATGGGGTGATTTATATATTTTAATTCTTTATCATGTTTTGAGGAACATTTCCTAATTCTGAAGTTAAATTAACTATTTAAATGTATTATAATTCTTAGGTGAACTTGTCGTTGTATCGTCATAAAGCTGAAAACAGAGTTGTTTTTCTGACAAACTCATAAAAAGTTTACTAAAATCTGTTGTTCTCACAGGACAGCGACGCTTCAAACTAATTATGATCTCTAAATATGATGCGTTGCTATAGATTAAACCACTCAGTAAATAAAGGAGTTAAAATGAACACAACGATGAACATAAACAGCAGTAAAATGCAACATAGTGCAGTCATTTTATTCCTCAAACATTATCAGGGAACATCTTATTGCTCTATGAAAACATTCCATACTTTAAGCTCATGTAGCTGGTAATACTAACATACCTTTACTTAAAGGTGGGGTAGGTAAGTTTGAGAAACCGGCTCGAGTGCGCTAGAATTTGAAAATACACAACCGGAAAAAATCAGCCACTTCCTTATAGAGCCCCTCCTCCAACTCACACGAACGCGCACATGACCAATGAGGGCACGAGATAAGTTTGTGCACAGATGGAAGGCTGACAGGCAGGGAGGCCATCCAGTTATTTTAGCCGGGCCGGCTAAAATGATTGGTCATGCTTTTTACAGTACTACGGCTTCCACAGATGACATTTTTTTATGGATTTTTTGTCAAAGCACTTAAGATATTCATTGCTATCGGGATGTTAAGAGCATTCCATGGAATATAACAAAAAGTGTATCTCGAGCCGGTTTCTCAAACTTACCTACCCTACCTTTAAGTAAGGTTTAGAATGGAGGAGGTATAATAATATAGTGAAATATGTCAGTGTGGTATTAGTAGTATAAGCCTATAATATCTGCTTTTACATCTATAGACACTAAGTAGATTGATAAACGGATCAAATGGAAAACCAAGCTCAGGGTGTAACATAATACTGATTTTGAAACTGGCTTAGAATCTCCTATAGGGGCAGTTTAATAGGGAAACAGTAGAGGGCACCACACGATCATCCATAGCTTCAATAACCCGCAGCAGTGTCCTGAAAGACAGAGCTGGACATGCTGCTCTATCTGACGTCTGTCCTCTTCTCTACTCTCCTCCAGGAGCATTTGCTTCCTGAAACTGAATCGCTTTGAAGAGGCCAAACAGGACTGTGACTCGGCGCTGCAGCTGGAGCCGGGCAACAAGAAAGCTTTCTACAGACGAGCGCTGGCTTACAAGGGTTTACAGGTGCCGGTCACTCCACATCGTAAACACTCAGTTATTTGAAGCAGTCGGGTGTGTGCATCAGGATGTTGATATTATATTTCATAGGTTCTCTCCTCATTTCTCTGTGCAGGATTACCTGTCTGCCAGCAGTGATCTGCAGGAAGTCCTCCAGCTGGACCCCAACGTCCGGGAGGCCGAGCTGGAGCTGGAGGAGGTGACGGGCCTGCTGAGGCAGAGCCTGATGGACAGCACGGCACACACACCACGGGTAACAGACTGTACACACACACACACGCACACGCACACGCACACGCACACACACACACACACACACACACACACACACACAATCCGTCAAGGAGTAATTCAGTGGTTCTAAAGATAAGGGGCAAACTGAAACATCCTTACCTTAAACTATTTGTGAATATCTTAAATCACTATCCCTTTTTTGTCAACACCGTCAGACTCTCTTCTTTTCAAATTTCCCACACTAGTCCATACTAGTGCTTAATTACTGAAAGCAAAATCTTCCTTCTTTACTTGTATATGTATAAAACGAAACACCGAACATCGCCAAATGTATTGTGTGCCCATAACGTGTTAACTAAGACGGACAAAAATGACTTTTTCTCATTCCCTTCAGGTTTGATTTCTGTGGAGAAGTATGGAGGCAGAGGAAGTTAACAGGTTCACTGAACTGATCCAGTTGTGGAGGCAAAGGACTCTTTAAGCCATCGACTGTAGTGAGTAACACCTGTAAAACTGGAAATGACTGGCGTTGACTTCTTGGACAACCAGCTTTCTGCTCTGCACCATCTGCAACGTGTGCAAACGGCACCATAACTCCTGAGTACACAACCTTACATAACACAACAGGCAGCTTTATTAAAAAAAGGCTAAAGTCGAGGCACCCTTGACCTGCTTGCACTATAAATCATTCACATTATGATGTAATGTACTGTTTATACAGAATCATGTTTTATGGTGGAGTAGCAGGGGGGAAAGTGAGAGTGTAATATGTTGTGCCTTACCGAGATTTCTACCGCAGTTTGGTTGAAATACGCCAAGATTTTCCCTCTGATTTGTTTTAAAAAATATTGTGTTTGCTTGCAAATTGGTTCACTGAGCTCATGACTAAAGCACCGATTCAACTTAACTATGTTGTATATGAAGATAGACAACTCCCTAAAAGATTTTAAAGGTGAAAGAAAGTCATTATCTGTTATGTATCCAGCTCTTCCAGCTTTTCAAGACCTTTGTCATTGTTTACATGTATTTTCCGCTGCTATTTACTAAAGCCAACCTTTCCTCTAAAGTATATTGTTAAAACTTTCATTTAAGATGGTAAAATTATAATTTCCTACAGTTAGAATATCACATGAGCTCAGTTATTGTTAATAATAAATTGTCACTTCTTTGGTTTAGGTCATATTCAGCAACTGAAGTCAGCGTTACTTAATCCTGTACTGTAAGTGGGTCTCAGGTCTAATCTTGAATGTAACCAAGATGATGCGTACGTGTCTTTGTGTGTGAATAGGTGTACCGTATTTATGTTTGGAAAGTTTCTTTATCAGAGTATTATAGTTTTAATAATGGCTCATAACTCCGAACTCTTTGATCTGATTGAAGAATCCCTCATAAATCTGAATGGTGGTGAATTACAATTCGATATGACCCAAAGCAGTCCAGTCTGAAAAACTAAAACAGCTTGTAGTCCGGATCCTCCATTGTCTGGTTGAAGTCTCTTAACAGAAGGTATTTGGCATGCTGCAGATTAACCTGCACAGCAACCAACCCCCCCCCCCCCCCCCCACAGACACCATCAACAAACAGGTGTTTCTACTTCCTCTGCCTCATCACAGCTCCCCTCAGGTCTCTGTACAGAAAGTGCTCGATTGACCGCTATCTGTTTCTATTTTTACACCTGAGAGGGAGGGACAAAAAAGACTTGTGTAACTCTAATGACCATCTTACACTAAATGACCGAGATCAAGAGCCACAACGGTCTCTGCGGCAGTGACATTTTGGTGAAAGGTCAGTATGACCTGTTTGGAGGGACAAATGACTCTTTCTCTTTTGGTTTCTTGCCCTCACTTCAATAGGAGCACAGGTCTATTTAACCATCGTGACTAACAACACCTGTGTAAGTGTGCAGGGCATTTCAATATCTTTATTTTAAACATCGCAAACAATTTAAATCTTTGAGTCGCACAATGTGCCACATCTTTTATTTCATTAATACTTTGATGTATTCATTTGGTTTGTCTGATTTTAACTATTTCCCCCTTGCGTTGTCTTAATAAAAGCATTAAAAAAAACTAAACTAAATGAAAACACTTGCTATGAGGCTTGAAGTGTTGCTTCGTGGAATGTAAGAGCATGTACTGTATGTAAATAGTTTGGATGCAAATGTAAATAATAAAATGCTACATGGATGCTTCAATGAGCAATGTTTCTGTTACTTGATGGGTAAACTGAATGTGTAGCCAGAAGGGAAAAAACAAACCAGGAAATAAGGAGTTGATTTGATCATCTCTCGAATCTTAAGAACGTATCACAGCGTCATGAACTCGAAAGTCAGCATGAAGAATTAAAATACAAAGACAACAAGCTTGATTGAGATTTTTATTCTGTAAGGATATGCATTAACATGCACATTATAAAGCAATTAGTTAGGGAATATATACTTTATCAAATAGGAGTTTTCTTTTGACCAAGTCAGAAATAGACTGGCAAATAATAATATAAAACTCACAGAAACTTAACTGGCTTTTTTATTTAACACAGGGGCATTAACAGGGCTGGAATATCCTGCAGCTGGAGGCTTTTGAGGTGCACCAACACTGTTTGAGTTGACACCACTTCTCTATGAGCGACTCTTTCCTCCCACACAGCTCCTGCTGAGCTCGGCAGGTTGACATCAGAGCAAAGTAATCTGTAGTGAGGATGACAATTCACAACAACATCTGATACTCAAAATGCTCATTGCTTTGGATAAACAGGCTTTTATTTCCAACAGGAGCTGATTATAAACACAGGTGAACTGACTTTGGCTACTTTAGGGTAACATTTTAAAAATATTATTTCTAAAACACACATTTTGGACGTTAGTTTTAAATGACTGGTCCAAAACCCGGTTAATGGCCCGAGTCTTTGGTCAGCTAAGCATGCTAGTGTGACAGCTAGCGTTAGCACTCAGGGTAGGGGCAGTACTTCGTATCAAGTTACATTTCGAGCATTTTATGAGGGAAAATACGATAAATTCTCTCAGGATTTTTATGTTTATCATTTGAAGACATATATGAGGAAATAAAAAGAAAGTAAAAACACTGTACAAAGGATTTTTCTTCTCCAAAAGGCACTGTGGGTCCAACAAATATAAAATTATTTGCATTTTTCATTTGCAATGATTTAAGAAAGACAACTTAACACATTGTAGTTAAAATACACTCAAGGCTCTGAATCAAAAATTATATTTTGATGTTGATTTTACCGAGGGAGAATCAAAAATGTAATCCTATTATCATCATACATTCACTACTGAACATGAAACCACTGACAGATGTGTGTGCTCAAATACTCAGTACATCAGAGCTGTTATATAGTTACACTGTTGATTAGTTATTCAAAAGCTTAATTTCCTTATTGCAAAAACATTGTTTGGTTGACTTTCCAGTTTTAATGACGGATCACTAAAACAAGTTAAAGTATTTTAAAAAAGGCTACATTGTTATATTTTTGAAATTGGGCTTTCCTTAGTTCTCTTTAAAATTCCCTTTCTTTAATATAGCTCTCATAAATCCATGGTATACTAAATACTGCAGTGAAGACTTGCACACGTGCAAACCACTAATAAACATTTAACAGTGCAGACAGAGGTTTGTGAAGGACAGTCTTAAATCCACATTATTTTAAAATGGCTACTTTAAACTCATCAACACAATTCCCATCCGGTCATACTCAAGGTTTGGACCCAAAACAGGGTTTCAACATTAAAACAGACTTTCCCAAAATGGAAAATAAAAATAGGCAAAGACAAAAGCACAGAAAAAAAAAATACAGGAGTCACATTTGAAAGAAAAGCAAATCGTCTTATAGATGATTATGGAAAAATAAAATGTGCTACTGAATGGACTGGTCCCTCTTAGGTTCAACAATCCTTTAGCTGTTTTTTTTAGACTGTTTTAAGAAGTCACAGAATGAAGTGGCGGCACAGCGGTGGACCACAGTGACCATCACATATCCATCCCTGATTCATGCAAAACACATTTGTGCCGATGACACACGGGAGGATGGGTTCAGGCTTTCAAATAGCAGCTCAATTTACTAATCAAAGAATATCAGACATTTCCAGGATCTGCTTTTTTTGTAAAAGAATAAGATCTGCATGGAGCTTGGATTCAGAACATCATTCAGGAGTCAGACTCTGATGAAAACATTAACAACCTACTTTACAACCTGTCCACATACATTCAGCTCCCCCACTAGACACCTTCACTAAAACCTCTGTCTTCAGTGACAGAACAGAAACCACTGATCTGTTTGACCTGCTCCCGTTTTCACAAATCTCTCTCCAACGTAGACCTCGACCCTCTCAGTATAGACTGACAATCACATAATATTCCTGGCTGCCTCTTCAGCAAGTAAAAATAGAATTAACCTTAAACATATTGGCTTACATTTAAGCCAAAGGCTTCCCAGAATGCATGGTGGGGAAGTGGTAACACCGCTTACACCTGAAGAACATCCTTTAGATCTCTGTTTGTATACTGCGGGTCCTTGTAGGGCTTACAGGCTGCACGGCAGTGTTCTTGACGCTCTCTTTTATTTTCTTGTCCTTCTCCGGCTCCGAGTCTGCGCAGGCGCCTCCCCCCTCCTCACTGATGTACAGAAACATCCCGCTGCTCCCCTCTTTCGGCGAGGCAGGGGGGGATGAGGACAGCAGGCGGTGGGTGAAGGCTGCGCTGCTGCTGTGAGGGAGATAATGCTCCAGGCGGTCGTTCTCCACCTCGGGCATGGGTGCGATGGTGACGTCACTGAAGGTGGTGGCGTGGTGATGAGAGCGGGGGTCCGTAGGGGCGGAGCAGGGGGCATGAGCCGGTCTTGAGGTTTCAGGGTCGGAGCAGCTGAGCTCTGATGAGAAGTGGCTGCAGTGCGAGTCGGCCACGGAGGGCAGGCTGCCGCTCAGAGACGGAGAATCAAACTCTGAGGAGTTGGTGCTGCGCTGCTCCAGGAGCTGGGCGTCCATGTCCGCCCGCGTCTCGTTTATCTTCATGTCTCCTCTGCTGCTGCTGCTGCTGCTGGCTCGTTTCCAAAGCTTTACTCGGCTCTTCTTGCCTCCTGATGTGGAAGCTTCCTTTGACCAGGGGGACGAGGGGCAGCAGTGGTTCTCGTGCTGCGCGCAGCAGCTGGTGGAGGGGCAGGAGCAGGGACCACCCGCAGCACCTTTGAGGCCGGGGGTGCTGCTGCAGCTGGCTTCATCCAGGCTGCTGCTGACGCTGCAGTGCCTCAGCTTCTGCTGTTTGGACTCTATGTCTGCCTGAGCATCCAGACTGTTGTCTCTGCAAAACAAGATAACAAGAAGAAATCCTTTTAGTACAGGTCAAGTTTATCTATATAGCGAATTTCATGCACCAACACAGACTCAATGTGCTTCAAAATAGCAAAACATATAGAAGGTTTTATTACTTAGAAGGAATACATAATAATATCTAGTAGAACAACTTTTCTATCAAAGATATTTACTTGCATATTCATTATGAATCAACTCTTTTTATGTGCTTTTAGTGTCCTTTTTTTGTCAAAGACAGACAAACAAGCACTTGACCACAGGGCTAAAGGTATTAGAGAAACTAGGACAGGTATACATTTTTAAAAGAGGGTAGAGATGCAGGGGTCTACTGACCTTTCCAGAGGCATATAGGCACTGAGGATGGATCCCGCCATGGCTTTTGTGCTGGCGTTGTCACTGATTGTCCCGAGACTGACGGTGGCCGACTCACCGCTCAGACTGCAGCGCTCCTTCTGGACATCAGCCTGCACTTCCATCCTGGAAATGACAATTCAAACAAAATATGAAATCATTTCTCATGTCTCAGTGAGTCACAGAAAGTTTGCTTTAACCAGTATCAGAGAACAATACCATGAAATGTATTTACTAAGCCATACCAAAGAGTAAAATCGTGCACTATGAATTGTATAAAGTATGTGCTATTTGCCGGTCAAATGCTACGTTTTTCTCATTAAACATTTATGTCTATGGAGCGATCATCCAGGTCCAGTTTATCACCTGTTGTAGCAGCTGCCAGAGAGGCTTCCTGTGATGCTGGTCCCAGCGAGGGCCGTGGTGCTGGCGTTGTCGCTCATGTTGTCTCGCTGCGTGGAGCTCATGCCGCAGCGCTCCATGTGGCTCCCGCTGACACTGAGCCCCGTCAGGCCGCCGACACTCGCTCCATCTCCCAGGCTGGGATTGTTGAGCCGAGTCTCTGCCACTGAGGTTGTGTCTGAGGAGAAAAGGGGCGACAGGGAGTGTCATTTCGATCATTAAGAGAAGCTTCTGACTGACAAAGAAGGTACATTAGTTATGTCTAGACTATTTGTCAAAAAAAAGTGAGGTTAAAAAGGACCAAATAAAGATTGGGCTGTAAAGACGAATTTCGGCAAGCTACCCTAGATAAAAACAACAGCAACCAAAAATGATATTTGTGTCATGGAACAAAGTTTATTTTTCTGTAGTCACATCAATGACTTCACTGACTTTCATCAGTTTTAAATTCACGCTGGAACCACAGATTGATTAACTCTTATGTGTGAATAAGTGTCAACACGTCTCACACTTTATTTCCCTGGGAAGGTCAAAGTCCCTGCTGTCATTTGGACTCATAATTATCATACGGTATAGGCCTAGTCTCCCTAAACACCTCCCGGGAAAGTAAGTCTGACAGTGACAAACACACGATGACAGGAAAAACAACTGACACTGCACCAGTCATTTCACACCATTGCACAACTGAAACAGTTTTGGCAATTCATGCAATGAATGACTCTTTGTATGTACACACAAAGCCACTGACCAACGTAGGGGGAATTCTGTAAGCCAAACAGATTGGCAAAAAAACGAATATGCCAGCACACACCTACCACAAATATTTGTGTTATGGTTGATAAAAAGCTGCTGGCATTTACTTAATATCCAGGTGCTGTGCGAGAAGTAAAACAAGATGAATGTACCAATAATAATGACATGTACGCCAGTCATTTCACACCGCTGCACAACTCAAACTCCCGTCAGTCCTTTTGGCATTTTGGGAGCTATGAATAATCCATGTGTACACACAAAGTCACAGACTTTAGGAGTACCAATGTGTCAGCACACAGCTCCAACAAATATTGATGTAATGGTTGCTAAAAAGCTGTTAATATGTATTCAGGTGCCAGTGATAATTCCACATGAACCAGTCTACAGTTAGTGTATGACAGGACGGAACATTTTCCTTATTTAAAAGTATATTAAACAGAATAACTTACAATAAATGGAGAGACTGACAAAAGAAGTGAATAAGACTGCAGAGGTGGTAGAAAGTACTTCCACCTCAAATGTTCTGCATAGTCCGTAAGAAATCAGTGGCAATGCTTTTGTTATAGAGATGCTCACCTGTGGCTGCAGCCCCGCTCCCTATGTTGTCATTTTCGTCATCGAACTCGATTCGCACCCCTTTGCCGTTCCCAGCAGACACTCCACAGCCTCCGCTCCGGCACAGGGAGATCGGGACAACTCCGTAGACGTACGCCAGCATGATGGGGACACCAATGCCTGCACAAAACCGTGTCAACACACACTTTAACAGCAGAAGATTGATCTGGGCTCAATGGTAAACAGTTTAAAGCATTTTGAAGAAATCTATATAGAAATATATCAAAATTAGTTTAGAACGTTGAAAGCAGAAAAACCGGCATTGTACACATTTTGGGGGTTATCTTTAAACCGGATGATGTTTTTTTTACAGCTTTTTACATGTGACCCACAAAGAAGAAACGTTCTAATACTTTAAATGTTGTGGAGAAACGGATCGGGAAGGAAAGAGAGTCAAAAGGGAAAGGAGGGGAAACTTCTTATTTCTTACCGACAGTGACTGCTGCAACTACAGGAGACACGATCACAGACAGCGTCACCCCGCCAGCAATTACCAAGTTCCTCTTGTGTTTAGAGATGTCTTTGCCCTCATAGCGGTTATGGATCTGAAGAGGGAAATCGTTTTTTAATTACCTTTGAATTAAATCACCTTCTTGGCAACTGTGACACAGAAATTCAAAAGGCTAAACACTTTTATTTAGAAGAATTAAATGGAGGGATTCTTAACAATGTTTTGATGAGTTGTGCAGCAAAAGGTTAGATTTCATACCACAGAAAATGTGAAAACCACACCATATGTCCTGATTGCGAGGTGATTTTGGTGATAACAAATTATTTAGATTATATTTAGTTCCATATTATTCCTCGGCTGCTCGCTCTCACCTTTCTGCCCACGTAGACTGGGATGCCAATGATCATGGCGGGGATGGCGATGCCGGCGATGAGGGCGATGCCCACGGGGGCGCCGACCAACGTGCCGAGCTGCCAGAGGATCTTCTTCTTCCTGCTCCACGGCTTCTTCCCCCAGAAGGTGCAGCCTGACGGACTGAGAGGAGTGGAGGGAGACAGGAAATGGGTTGTCAAAAAATTAAGAGTGTATATCACGCCCAACATAAAAGGGATGAAACTAGGAATGTAGAAGAAGTAAAAACAGCACCTGGAATGATGGTTTTCCATTCTGAAAGTTATTCATTTATATACCGTAGATGTTTTTTATCTGTTCTTCGACACATTTGAAGACTGTCAGTCCAAAGAACAGACATTCACGAGGCAGAAATCGCTGACGCAAACACAACTGCAGTACCTACTGAGTGTTATTTAACGGTTTTGTTTGCTGCTGGACATTTGTCTCACCTTAAATAGTGTAAATCAGAGATCTCCTTCATGCAGAGCCAGCAGAACTCGCAGCCGCAGACAGCGCAGGTCATGTGATTACAGCTCCCATCATTCATCTTGATGATGTAGGCGGCACAGCGAGGGCACGGCTTGATGTCATCCCCTAGTGAGCGTTGATTGATGTGAAAGAAAGAGAAGCGTTAGGCATACAGTGTTTTGGGGAATATTTATTGTGCATATTCTATACTGTGGCCTATTGCAATAGTATCTTTACAAATGTATAATATATATGACTCATCAATGAATCCTTTGTTCTATAAAATGTCAGCAAATATGTCAATACCAGTTTCAAATTCAAAGGGGATGTCTTTAAATGTCTTGTTTTATTAGGTCAATACCCCCAAAAAGAATCACTTTAACCCAATATTAAACAGGGAAAAGATGGAAATCATCACCTTTAAAGGGTGGGCATTTTTGCATTGAAAAGTACCTTAATGATTCATGGATTATTGTAATAGTTACCGATTATTTGAATGTCAATGAACAAATCTATAAGTCTACTAATTGTTGGAGCTCTATTGAGGCTGAAGAAACTGATGGGTGTGCTGAAGGAACAGATGTGTGAGCATGACACGGTCAGAAGTGTATTTGTGAGTTACCTGCGGCTCCACTCTCCTGGCTGTAGCTGAGGGAGGAGGACCTGAACGTTCTCAACCGCAGGCTTTGGGCTCGTTGCTGCCGTGCGGAGTCACATGTCTGGTTGGGATGCCACAGCTGCTTGCAGTGGTAGCAGAACTCCGTCCCGCAGCCCTCACGCCCACAGGTGATCTTTGGGCAGCTGGCACAGCCGAACGCAATGACTGCATAACTGAGAGAGAGAACAGATGCACACAAAAGGGTGGTTTGTATTTGCTAGTGGATTTTAAGCAAAACACTGTGGGTCATCAGGGCTAAAAATGAAAATAGTAGAAGTGAAAAACTTGTGCTTGAATACAATGATGATGCTGCTTACTTTCCAACAGATGCCAGTGTCCTATCTATGGTCTTCTGTGTTTGATTCTTATTTTACCAATTTGGTTTATGATTGTTGTATTTATATCTGTTTTATACCTATGTATTATGTCCTGATGTTTTGCATTATTTAGTTTTTTGTAAGTATGCTCACTAAGACAGTCAAGGATGTTGAAATTATAATAAACTACTGAATCTTAAATCTAACAACTCAAAAGTGTTTGTTACATAAACACATCAATATAACCTGATTATTTTTGATTAAACAAATCAGGACTGACACAATCAATTCTGCATGACTGCAAGTCTCCATAGTACCCTCATCAGTCATAACAGTGGCAGCTTTATTGAGCATTACATGGCACGACTTGGACAAAGTCAAACATTTGTTTTGATTTAATAAACATGCAAATTATATACAACTTGACAAACTGGTCAGGCAGCCATTTATAGCCCAACACAATTAGTTGAGCAAATAATTACTTTATTATCGGTGTAATAATAAAATGAATGGTAGCAACTGTTTCCTCTTGCTGACACAAAAGCCAACTATTTCCTTGTGCTATGGAAACAATGACACAGTAACAATGGTTTTGTTGAAAGGATAAAGGAGAGCACCTGATGTTTTAATAAAGTAAGTATGACAACCTGTGCTAAACCCTGAGATGGTTGCAGACATTCAGTCGCCCCTAGCAGGGTTATCATGGGGAAATGTGAAACATATGAAAAGGAAAAACAAACACTCAGGCTAACAAACAAACTGGACTAAATTGGATATCACTGGGTAAATGATTGAATCTGCTCCCTGAATGAAACCCTAAGGGGATCAACTCAAATTCTGTGAACAAACACCGTTCTCCAATATCTTTATTTATAAATGTAATTCTGTAAAGCAAAGCCTGCAGCAAGATGGAGCTGCTTATTTGCGTTCGCAGAAAAACGATTAAAGCTAAGTCAGAATACATTTGGGCATCGGCTGAAGATTAATTGACAATGAAAAAAAAAATCAATAGTTGTTGCCCTACTTGGGAGATAAATAATAAGTGCTCATTGTGTTTCTCATGTGCTGAGATTTCACAACGTTAAGGTTTTTGAAGGATGTAAAGAATGCATCAAATGGGCAGAAAGAATGAAAAACAAACTTCAGGCAATATACCCTACAGTAGAGCAAAGAGATGAGGTTTATTAAAAGCCTAAATTGTAATAATTAAAAACTCTACATTGGATTTCTCCTCACAAAGAAAACAAGGTAAATGTTGGAAAAAGCAGAGTAAGGGTGGACTTTACTACTATGATACGGTGAAGGAAACAGAAAACAAATGCGTGGTAACAGACGTCACGGCATCATTTTAAAATGCTTGTAAAATGTTTCCCTACAAACTGACACACTTTGCAGTTTAGCATCGGGGGAAGTGTGTGTGGGCACCGTACACCTACAGAGGTTAGGGAGTCTAGACAGTTTCCAGCCAGACTCCACTCACACCTCAGTGAGGCAAACTGACGGCAAATGTTAATGTTAACCCTAACCCTAGCCCTAGTGGAAGGGAACACATCCAAATGGACCTTTTGGTATAACCATTAAACTATGTATGACACCACTGTTAAGTCCAGACAGTACACTGCAAACAAATACATTATTAACCTCTCTATGTCTACGGTTTGTTCGGAGGATTCCTGCGTTTGAGAATTGCTGAGCGGACAAACGCAGCCCAATAACTTGCGGCTGTTATTATACAACAATTTAGAGCGGCAGCAATAACCGGCGGAGACTGTGACAGTGAGGCAGAGCTGAAGTGATTAGACGACAGAGCAAGATGAGCTGAAAAAGTCTCATGAAAGAGCCATTATTCAAACAGACAGGGTCGGCAGTGTTGATGAAACAAAGCCCAGAGAGGAGAGGGAGGGGGAGAGGGAGACAGAAGGAGGGACAGAGAGAAACTGTAACCAACAATAAAAGCCTGAAATGAGTTAGTAACTGCTCCCAATCACTATGAAGCCGTTTACATGATTTCTTTACACCTTAATTAAACGAATAGACGCGGATGAGCAGATTAGATTATGCTGCGTATGTGGTTGTCCCGGTGCGGTCAACAACAGGTAGAGCGGGGCGTACCGCAGCGAGCACACAGAACATTATGTTAGCAAACTGTTGAATCCCAACCAGCTCTAAATATACAGAACTCTGACCTGAAACTCACCCGTCACCTCCGTGTGAAAGAGGGGAACCAGAACAACACATTCTCCCTCCCTCAGAGAATCAACAGTTTCAGAAACATCTTTATTTGAGATGTGGCTGCATGTGTCGAATGAACTCTAGCTAAAAACTTCAAATTTCAATACACGTTTAGTAATTGGCCATTTATCCAGTTTTTACCCGTTTCACTTTTGTTATGTTCCTCTTTCTTATTCTGTGTGGTAGTCATTTTTCAGATGAATGAATCATTTACCCTGAGTTACTGTAAATGTTTTTTGCAGCTTTGTTTCATTACTGTGAATCATTTTCTAAAGGTGAAAATGATGTTAAATATGTGTCAAATATTTAGTGGTGTAAAACAATTCCAGGCATGGTGTGTGTTAACAATAGGCCTCTTCATCACCGGCTCCTCACGTTGTTTCGATCTGACTCATCGGGCTGACAAACAGATCTATTAGAGCTCGAGTTATTTTTATCTCGGGCAACTGGAGAACTTCAAAAGGCCAGAATTCAGCCTTGACGTTTCCTTATTGTAGCTTCTCACAGTGTTATTTTTGGATGTATCAAACATCAAGCACATTTCAGGTAACTGGAGTAGAGATTTTTTTATTTATTTTTTTAAGTCGTTTCCTTGTTGTTTTGTTGCCATGAATGTGAGGTGGAGTACACTTAATATGAAGAATAGTTCAGATGCGTTCCTAAACTTGAGTTACACCTGGCTGCCACATTGTTTTAAATGTATCTTAAAGACAATGTTATGTTATCCTAGGGCTGTGCAATTAATCGTATTTTAATCTCGATTACGATTTTGGCTTGCAACGATTACGAAAACAATGTAATCGAAATAAAACGATTATTATTTTTATAAAAAAAAAAAAAAAAAAATGTAATTTTTTATTTTTTTTATTGGTTTTTCAGTTGAATTATACTTAAAGTTCAGGGTAATCAACTGTTAAAAACATACTGTTCAATTTTTTTTTTTTCAATATATGGATGTTTTCAAAGTAAATGGATAATCGTTTTTAATAATCGTGATATCAATTATTGACCAAAATAATCGTGATTATGATTTTTGCCATAATCGCACAGCCCTATGTTATCCTCTTTAACTAAGACTATCAATCTTCAACATTTAGATTTAAATACATCTCTGTTAGGTCACCATCTATCCCCCAATGACACAACGGTAATTGATCCTAGGATTTTCCTCTCTAATTCCTCAGCTCTGGTTCTTACCCACAGTCGGGGGCCGGGCACCAGCGGCAGTCCGGCTCAGCCACCAGAAACCTCCTCAGCATGAACTCCTCGTACTTCTCCATGAGGGCGCGGTCCCCCAGGATCAGCTGGATGTCGTGGGGATTGAAGCGCTCCGTGCACTCGGGGCAGCAGATGTTGACACGTGACTCAGATATCTCGATGCGCAGATACTGTCGCAGGCAGTCTGCGCAGGAGCGGTGGTGACAGGTCATGATGTCGGGGAATTGCTCTCGCGCGTGGCGCAGGAGGCACAGAGGGCACTCCAGCGTGTCTGACGAAGAACCTGACACCGAAGAAGTGGACACCGCGGCCAGCGCCGAGAGGGAGGACGTCTTTTCATGGACAGTCTCAGCTGGGACGCTCTCTGCGACGACAACAGCCTCCGCAGCAGCAGCAGCTGCCGTCTGCAGATGCCTCGACTTGCGCTTGGGGTCGCGGTCGGGTCGTCTGCGGCGACTGAAGAGTGCGTGGAGGGACAGGCGGCGCTTTTTGGGGGTCTTTCTAACTGAAGGGAGGCTGACAGAGGAGGCCACAGAGTGAAGGTCTCGCTCTGAGCCCGTGCTGCCATGATGCTGCTGGTGCATGATGCTCATCACCACAGAAGGGATGCTGATGGTACGACCAGAGAGCAGCACATCAGGAGAGATGAAGGACATGGAGAGGGTGGAGGATGGAAAGAGGGACAGGATGGTTTAGGGGAAGGGGGCTTGGCCGCTGTTGGCTAGGAAATCATGGCTGGAGGTTGGTAGGAGGTGTGGAATTCTGTGGTGTGGTCCGTCCCTGGTTGACAGCACAGTGATGGGATGCAGATGTTCAGATGTAGGACACCAACCTGACAGAGAGGGAAAAAGGAAGAGAAAATCAGGTACAGAGCCAAATCTGAAGCCATTCACTTTTAATGAATGCGGCAAAACAGAAACATTCGGAAGATTCAAAATGCTTAACAACTAAACAACAATCAAAATACAGCAAAACCTGAGACAGCACAGCTATCAGAGTTGTTGTGTGTTAAGGAGAGGCCATCCCTTTGATAATGAAGTATTTTCCTTCAGGCACTTTTTTTTAGGCGCATCATCTCGAATGTGAGACTGCTTACATAAAACCTCTGTAAGCTTTCCCAGGAGTGTGTATTAGTCATGTGTAGACAAAACAAGACAAATCTTTTGTTTTTTCCATCATAGATCTCAGACGTGGCCACAGCTGTGTTAGTTTGCCTCTTGAGTAGCCACACCTCGCTTCAAGTGTTTCCACATGCTCTTATTTTACACGATACGAACAACTAAAGCATAAGATCTTTACTGCAGTATACAAGTGCACCGGCAGTGGATGTGAAGAATTGCAGTTTGAAGCCGTACATTTAAAGCAGAAATGAATCAACACAGTTAATGGGTGTGGTCCTATTCAGGCTTCGCTAATGTTGAGAGGAATCCTCTTATGCTAATGAATGTACTCGTTTGAAATATCTCTACCTTTAGCTCGTACCTTAGGAGACAAAGTAATGGAGGAAGCAAAATAAAAACGAGTGCCAATCTCACTATTTATATTGTTTTCAAAAATGCAACATTGTCTGCATTGCTATTTTATCCCAATATATTCCAGATGTAAAAAGATAGTTTTCTTAACAGTTGAATTCCAGCATCTCCCTGTCAGAGTCTCAGTTGGGAAATAAGCTATTTCAATGCTAAACCATCGCACTCAGAAGATAAAGTCTGTTTATTCTTCAAGTGGACCTTTTTTTTGCAACCCAGGTCAAAATCTACTTTATAATCAATCACCATGCCCTAATCTCGTTATTATGACTTTGTCATGTGTTCCCAGCTGAAGTGGAGTAACAGTTTGTTTTATTTATGTCCTCACCGTTGTCCATATCATCTCCCATTTGGAAAACAACAGAGCAAAGCAAATGGATGACTTCAGCAAGAGGTTCTGTAGCTGAGGGCCATGAGATGTTATTGAAAAACAATGTCTTTTGGAGTCGATAGTTTGACCATGTTTTTACCATGTTGGTTTATTAGTTCTTTCAAAACAATGTTACTGCTGTTCCAACATTGATATTGTATATATCATTGTTTAACTTCTCACTACTTGTAAACCACAGGAAACTTCCCTTTAATAGTTTACACCAGGGCTTCTCAAACTCCGGACCAAACTGCAAATCAATCCGGACCGAACCCTGTGTCCCATTATAAAAAAATTAAATTAAAATTAAAATATATATATATTCTGATTCTGATAAATTAATGTACATCATTGTGTGAGAATGAACGTGCATATATATTTACTTGTGTCCGCAAGTTAACCGCAAGTTTACCTTGACTTTCTAATGCTTCTAATGCCTTTTTTGCCGAGGTTCAAAGCATTGACTACAGACAAACAGTGCCATTTCTCCCACTAGTTCAAGCCACCATACTGTATGTGTGTATTGAATGGGTGTGTGTGTACAGGGGCGCCGTTTGCCGACAGGCAAGTGCTTGGACCAGAAGGGGGCCCCCAAAGAAGGTAGATTAAGAAGGTCCACAGCAACGACAACATGAAACACCCTTTAATTTACTGCAACGACATGTCGGGAAACCCCCTCATGCATAGAGCGCCGTAAGAAACTGCTTCTTAATTTCAGTTTCTTTTCACCGCTCCGGGGAGGGGGGGGGGGGACTTTACTGGCATTGATCCGGACCAGTGACCTTGTATTAAGTTCACAAGTGGACCTTTAATAAAAAAGTTTGAGTACCCCTGGTTTACACTCTGTAATACAGAGAGTGCTATTAAGCATGCGCAGTGTAAACATCTGGTCCTTTCACCATGTTCGATGGTATATTCAAAGTATCAACACTGAGATTGTTCTTATGTTAAAGGTGATAACAGGGCTCAGGGCTGTTAAGTCTTGGAAACAACACTTAAAGTAGTAGAGCCGCTTTGGATTCATGATACCAGACAAATACACAACTGCAGTTTCAATGACGGGTGGGACAAGCTCACGAGACGTCTCCTTCGGCTGAGTCCTCTGGATAAAGGGGTTTTCTCTGAGTTGCCAGCGTCATTTTTCCTTTCTTAATAGAGCTCAAATTTGCCACTAGGTAATACTTAAAACAATACCTTTTCCTCGCTCGTTAAATAGAGGGTACTTGCTGTGTGAAATATCCTTTCTCAGAAGGTTATGGAATAATTTTAACAAAGAAACACCATATATCATCAATTATCTAAAAGGCAGAAAACTTAAACCCACATGATCTTGAGATGCAGAAAGGGCTAGATGTTACTATGCAGCCATATTTAGCTGACTTCAACATACAAGTACATTTTATGCAGAGTAACCTAAATGTTTGTGAACCAAAGATAACTACAATTTAAAAAAAGTCAAACCATAATTGCATGACATTAAACCATTAGCCAGGTTGTAAAGACTAATGTGTTTTAATTGCTCGTTCTGAATGTTTAAGACTTGCTTTTTAAAACCCAAGGCAAGCCTGCATATGACATCTGAAATGTAAGCACCACTAAACACCAGTGGGTGAGGCGACGAGAGATGACAAATCAGCCAGTTTGATGGTGTGACTTCCTTGAGGTGTGTCATGACTCTAAATAGATCTCCCTTGATAAATAATGACACAACAGTGATGCTCAAAGATTGAGTATAGAGATGTGGCTTTAAACGGCAGCCTGTAATGTGTGAAATGGGAGCTTAACATTATCCGGCAACATTTGTAACATTTCAGATTGAAATCCTCTATATAGTCAAGTAGGAAGTTGCTTTTTAGGAGGTTCCAGAGCCATTTGGGTATCTAAATAGCTTCCACTGAGGCCAAAGTGATGGCCCAGCACTATATATCCACATCGTAACAAAGCTTGATGATGTATTGGGTCAAATAGCCAAGTCATGTGAGCGAGAGGACATTTTTAACAAGGCAGAGGAGGAATTTTTAAGCAACCCACAAGTGAATGTGAAATTACACCCCCAAGGTGTAATCAAACTGGAAAAGCCTTCCGAGTGAGTTGGACTTTCCGTGTGACTGCGGTCAGTGTGTGCGTTTGTGTTTGTGCACACACACAAGCATGTATTCAAGTTGTGTTTCCCAAAGGCAATCACATGCAACCGCGGCTCACACACTGAGACGGTGTCCCAGTTCCTGAGACAACCCCGGGGCAGGAATCCCACAGAGGCAGAAACAAACCAGATTCAACCTTCCTTCAACTCTTACAAATCAGACCATTGTAGTATCATTTAAAATGTGCGGTTTTCTGCTGCAGAGACAGGTCAGTGCAAGGTTGCTGAACGTCTTTAGAAGTCACACTATCATTTATGTGTCACAACTGACGGGGAAAACAATAGTAACAAAATGTATCACTTGGGGTCGCAGTGGTGGTGTTTTTAACAAGTACGGCCCACTAGACCACAAAGCAATGACATGTTGGCTTTTCCATCGCAATAAACTAAATAAATCCAGGTTCCCATTGCCTGCAATTTAGCAAAGAGACAATTAGGTGCATAACCAAATTGCAATGGAACGTTTTATGTTACATATTTGTGACTGCAAAATGTCCCGTTGAACCCTGTTTCATAAATACATCTCAACACAATTAATAAGCTATAAACAGAAACATACTTTCCTGAATATTCACGCTAAAATGTTCCACTGAGCTGCTAGCATTACCCGTGCAGACAGAGGGATTATAGCGATAGTAAAACAAGGCAACAGTAAACAGTGTCCCCATTGCAGATGAAACTGCTTTTCTTTCCCCATTAACAAAATATATATCCTATTATGTGAAAATCTAGCTTTTTTTCAAAAATATCGGCACCCACCAGTGAGATGTGCCACAGTTAGGGTTGCAAAATTCCGGGGATTTTCATAGATGGAAACTTTCCATGGGAATTTTCAAAATTGAAGGTTGGCTCTTCATAGGGAACTTAAATATAGTTGGGGAAAGTATATTTTAGCATAATCTTGACTAAAACAAACAGATGCCATTCAAGTACACTTGAATATCCATGCCATTCCTCAATCACATGCACATAGCACACTGCTTACTGCATGGCTATTGAGACCACACCCCCTAAACTGTGGCTAGGGTTGCAAAGGGGCGGTAAGTTTCCGGTAAGTTCCCATACCGGAAACTTACCGCCCCTTTGCAACCCTAGCCACAGTCGAATCCAAAGGGTTTTACAGCCCCAAATACAATGACAAACAAACAAAAGTAATGATTACCGGCCCATATAGTGATATCAAAAGATAAACAGTGTACAATATTTAGTTTTAAACACATTCTGGATGTAACTTCAATGTGAAATGTACTTTAAATTTCCGCCAAAGCTAATAGTAACTGTTCAGTTGTTCATGATGTTACGTCAGGCCGAAACTCAAGGACTTGCGTAATCTGGTTTCACTTTGTAGCATGATAGAGGAAACTTAAATAACTTGGTTAAAATGAGTTTCTCTCTTTTTATAAAATACATACCGTTACTGGATTTTTGGGGCCAATATAAATAATTGAGATTTATTCAAATCCGAAGACAATATACAAGCCAAAACAAAATATTTTATATTCACATGACAAACACACTTATATTGACATTATTTTTCAGTGTGCTGGACCGACCTCTAATCTTTCAATCACGGTCATACCCTCATAGTTAACCTTTATCAAAACAAATGTGTTACATGTCTCTGGAAAATGTCAGCATAGTCCGGTAGTTTAAACAACCATCATTCGGCTCTGTTATTTCCTGTGCGTGGTTTGGACTTTGGGTCTTTTTCTAATCCATTTGTCCTATTTTTCACAAAGCTGTGGTTGAGCTACCTCCAGTTTATCACATTCCTGATTATAATGAAACTATGGAGGTGCCCATCATCAGTGTAATTGAGTTGGTTTGTCTTTCAGGTGGGAGTGTATTGAAAGGGAATCCATGCTGCATTTCTTTATGGTGCAGTCCAAATGTAGGGTTGGAAGATGATGGTTTCCCGGGGTTTTGTGAAAATGGTAGCCTATGCCTACCATCAAAGAAATCCCACATACAGTAATGAGCTTCCACTCCTGGAAATGTGAGTCTCAAAGGGCTCTCCTGCATAAAATTCATCACGTACGCTAATTTCCGTTGACATTCCAGCTGGACGACAGACTTCCTGATCATGACAATGCGTTCAGTTATTATGGTTTGAGACAGAGGAACAGGCTGCATGACAAACGCTATACAAAAGCTACATATTTTTCACATGAAATGACATTGGGAGGAAATATTTCAGTTTTCTTTCTCAACCGTCACTGCTGTCTGAAACACGAGACACCATCCCTCTGCTGAAGCAAACTAATAGTTGAAAATAAGTTATTGTTAGACTGCCGAGCCAAGCATTCATCAGGTGTAGGCCAACTTTCTGTCAGCTGGACATCTCAATAACCCTGTAGCTTAATGAAGCTCTGTTTAGCCTATTATCTGCCAGCCAGAGTATTCAAATAATAATAATGTCTGTAGTTCAACAAAGAGAGAGAACAGGAGGCAGTCGAGTGAATTCCTCTGAGGCTTCTTTCACGCTATTTACAAAACAGTGAGATTAACAGCCATCAGGGCACGGTACTTTTCCACTTTATCTGGTTCCCTGTGAGGAGGCAGTCAAACTAACCATGCAGCTGGAGAAGCCATGCCTAGGTAGCTCAATTCTATGCGGTATAAAAATATCTGATCAGGTCAAAAAGCAGTTAAAACGTGAAGTTGAATTATTTTTCCACTTCTCCATTCAGCACCATGGAGACAGCAATAAAAAATGGCTTCTGTTTGCCCCTGTGGTCGATGGGAGATCCCCTTTTCCATCTGCATTTAGAAGGTAGTCTATGCTGATACTGATATGGACCGTATATAAGTCTAAAGGCTGCTGGCCATTCATTTCGATTACAGCTTGATTATTTGGCAAAGAGGTCGTTACACTACTGTATGCACTTCCTACTTCTAAGACCGCAGTACGAAAGCACAAATATACACTGTTAAATCTTGTTCAGAAGAGGGTTTTGTTCCTCCCTGCGTAATGCACACAAGTGAAAGAAGAAAAGCCATAATCAAGAAAGAAGTTAAAATGTTGTTATCTGTCCCTGGTGCACAAATGTTTGCCAGGTCGTTTATCAAGTAAAAGTCAGGACGAGTTAACATGCATGTACACATTATTGCACAAAAAACAAATGTTTAGTTTCGATTGACAGCCCATGGGTCTCGTGTTTGTCACATGCAGCTGTCTGGCCGTCAGTCAATGTTACACTCAAACCAAGTTAGAAGGGGGATGTTCACAAATACAGTTTCAAATGAAATGATTTGAATAAGGAGTTTTACATATCAGATCTATTCCATTGTTAGTAGGGAATGTAATTTGTAAATGTGTAGTGTGATCATTATGTTGTCCCTAGCACAGGTAGGTCAAATAACCAAAAACTAGTTCAGACTAGAAAATGTTTCCTGGGTAAATCTAAAATATGAGTAAACTAGGGGTGGGGGTGATAACGTAAGCCCTTGGGTCACATACAACAAGAGCAGCATTCTTCATTCTTCAGGTTTTCATTTAAATAAACCTGTTGTGAAGAAAGCTATTTGTCGCGTAGGGAGCAGGTACAAATATTTGACCATCACTCTGATGTCCTTTTGTTAAACCCCGGAGATCCCCAAGGGAATATGATCAGCCCCTCGTTGTTCCTAAATGAATTACATGAAAGAGGTGTGTAAACGTGACATGTTCCTGTACGCAGACGACTGGTGTTTACTGACAAAAACTTGGCTACGCTTCAGGAAAGACTGAAAGAATGGTTGACTAAAATCAGTTTATGGCTCTCTAAAATTCAACTCGGTTTACAACTATAGGAAAACAGGGGGGGGGAAGACTTTCCTGGTAAAACATCAGTCAATTACTCGGTCTGTACACTCAATGGCAATGTACAAAGGGCAGGTTGGCAGGTATGTAGTTTAACGAATTGTCAAACAAAACAAAAGGCCTATTTGTTAGGTGTGTAAAACTAAGTACAATATATTGTTTGTAATGTCTGTCATTAACGTTCAAAACACGATTGATGGTGAGAGACGCCACTGAAGGTTAACTGAAACTGGCCATGAGTTGTTATATCGTTCAACACAGGTCCAGAAATGTGAATAAACTTAAGAGCACAATAACAGTTTCATTCAAGTCTGACACCATCATTTAATTTTAACAGTAAAGGGCTGCTAGGAGAAAGCAAAGCCTTCTTACTCACTCACTGTATTCATTTTTGATCAGATATCAAACAAGGAAGTACTGCGCCCGTAATTGATATGTTATCTTTTCAGTAAAACATTGTGGACTGTGCTATGAAAGTGATGACAGAAAAAAATGACGCAGACATTTCCATTCATTGAATGGTGTCTGTACTAGGAAATTACAGTCAGACATGAACTCAAATGAAACTTTAAAAGAAGACTAATCAGAATGATTACATACCTAAAATGGGGGACCGATGTTGAACTGAATTGTTAGTATGCATTGAACATAATAAGGAATCACACAAATTACAATGTCTGACCTATGGGTCTGATCTCTGTCAGAACAAAACGTAATGTGGATCTTTTGACGCTATGGTTGATTATTTATATCCAGCAACACCAATACAAGTTTTTGGATTTGCGTACCCTACTTTTATCTCTTATATAACATATTAAGCCTTAAAATCCTGATTTTTACATTGTGAAGCAGGACATTAATGTAGCTAGAGTCACCAGCCTCTGATCTGACTTTGCACTATAGTCGAAGTGGCTTATATAAGTTATGAGCTCAATATACATGTAAACTATACTTTAATGATGTTGTCTGGAGCACTTACAATGATTTATGGAGAGCAAGTTCTGCCATTTGTATTCAAATAGGTTTGTAAACCTCCCCATCTCTTGTCTGAGCTCTGTGAAGTGCCTACATAACCTTAAGCATCCATCTGTTTGCATTTCACATATATATTTATTTATTTATTTATTACTACAATAAGCAGTATTTTATTCTTAGAGTATTTAATTTGACATTCTGTTTTGAGCTCATCTGCTTCTATTTAACATGTATATAGTCTACTTCTCCTGCATGACTTGCACATAGGTCACGTGTACTATTCTCTTTCTTTTTGTACTATATTTGTATTTGTAGGTCTTATATATATTTATGTTGAATTTGTTAAGGAGACCGGGGCTTAAGATGTTCATTGCTATAACCACACTGTAGCTACTGTGCAAATGACAATAAAACCTTTGAATCTTATAAACAAATTAGGATAAAGAAAATAACGTTATTTCGCATTAAAGAAAAAAAAAAACCCACATAGATTTAATAAAAATCCCAATTTCTACCAGTAGTGGCAACGTTAATAAACTCACAAAAGGAAAACTGCTGCAAATGTTTCACCCGACGCTCGGCACAGGAAGAACCAAATGGTGTTTACATTTCCACCTGGATAACCAGCGTTAGCATGCTAGCTAACTCAAATCAGTTTCGGTTAGCAGGAAAGCTAGTGCCTAACTTTAGTCGCCCAAAGAGTTTCAGCCCAGCTGATCTATGATGTTTGCTAACCCACCGCACAGTTAAATCGACACTATGGTTTATCTAAGTAAGAATCTTAACAGTCATAAAACATCATCTGGTGCCAGCAGAGGGTTTAACCCAATGTTGAGTTTAAGATAATTTACAAGCTAACAAAGCTAAAAACTGCTAGCTGCTCGTCAGCTTCGAACAGGAGGAAGTTGAGATCTGTGTGATATTATTAACCAACCGTTAGCTAGTTCTGGCAGTAAAGATCATCTCACACACACTTACCGTTATGTTTTCATCCGGTCTCCCTTTACTTCACAACAGAAGTGTACACCGTTGTCTCAATCTCTGAATAAACCGTACATTTGTTGCAGAAAACTTCGTAGGGCAGCCAATGTACATTCCCCGAGTGAGCCTGACTGATGATGTCAAGCTAGGGGACCAAGTATCAGCAAACAAACGTCACACTTCCGGTCAGAATGTGTCCGCTTTTCACAATAAAAGCTTTTCTTGTATAAATGTTTTTTATTAAAGAATTTCCATTTGATTTTACTATAAACTTCAACTACAGTTCAGAATCAAATAGTGTTGCTTTTACTTCACTATATTTATTGAATGACTTTTGGATCTGATTACTTCTTCCACCACTCACATTGTTTTGATTTGAACTCAAACTACAACAAAGCTCAATTTTTAGTATTAAGAATAATATAAACTAACATTGAAAAAACAACAAACATATAACTCTCCTTCCAAGTGTTAGATTACTTTACAATGCTTTTCTTTATTCTGAAAAGGTATAATATAGGTCTGTAAAATATGGGTGCCCCTTTTACTGTAAAAAATGTATATAATATTGGTTTGTATACAGGTCTGCCTTGAATAAGAAACCCTTAGGTCAATGAGAATAACTGTTTAAATAAAGGATGAAAGATGCATTAAGCATCCACTTGTCCTGTTAAGTAATTTAACAAAAAGATTACTCATTATTTTATTCTTTATTTTGAATTATAATATATTAAACTATACAACTAGTAACTGTATCAGTGGTAATGTGAAAATGTATTAATTATCAAAGTAGAATTAACTTAAATGATTATTAAAGAACAATTAAGTCAGAATTGTTGCCAACATAGCACTTGAATTAGTGTAGTCTACAATAGCCCTGGAAATAAACGTTGTGTTTTTAAATTCCAAAAGATGATGTTATTTCTCGCTCTTATTTCTAATCCACATTGTTCCAACGGAACATATTTTCCTGATAGCAACTGTTGACTTGACACGTTGTCATAACACCCGATGAATGTGTTTCGAACTCCAATCCACTAGGGGTCAGTAGCAGAAATGCCAGTTGCCTCCAGCATTAGAGTAGACGAAGAAACCGGAAGTGACTGAAATGTGTGAAAACAAATGTTATTTTTTAATTCTTTCCCTATGAAATGTTCAAATGTTAACCGAACAAGTTTTGATAAAACCGTGCGATTAAGTTTAAATACTCATTTACATTTTCAGGCTGTTGATTGAGGCCAATAAAAGCAACGTAATTTAAGGTTCGTTTGATGGAAGACCCGCATTGCATGATGGGGTTTTATTGCCCAATTGATCTCAGGCAAAACTCAAATAATAATTTCCAGCCTTCATACACAAGGGTGTCCTCTATATTAAAGCCAGGGTTTTTATCAATTCTGTATTTCCCCTTGATTCAAGATTTTTTTTATTGTTACACCATCAGTTAGCATGGTTTGTCTGTGAATGGGTTTCCCATCTCACCCCGGTACAACTCATACTTACCTGGCAGGGGGGTCTCCATGATCACTAAGGTGGATCCCCTACGGCGAGGCGCGGCCATTGCACTGACGGCTGCGCTGACCTGTACGAATCCCTCAAATGTAGGAATCTCGACTGCATAATTTGTGGTAGTGGGGGACTGCGTTCGCGCTCTCCCCTGATAACATGTACAAGTTAACGATTGAAGAACTTGCAGCTAGCGCAAACAGAAGGCTTGCACTTAGGGAACCCAGGTGGTTATGATCAATGATTCACTTTGAGATGTTGATGACTTTTAATGGCAGCAGGAATGTATTCGACCTATACTTGTGTGCAACTATTTAATAACAAGCCGAGGAAGTATCTGTGACAATATTACTTATATATCCTCACATTCATTTTGATAAAACACATTTACATCAAGAGAATCCTGCTGTAATCATCTAACTCTATGTCTCTGTTGTTAATAGAATAGCTATGGATATAAACTGTCCGTCACTGAATAATCTGTGAATGATACACCAGCAAACGAGCGACGAAGTGGTGGGGTAAAAACTCAGTTGACAGCGAAAAACATACAAATGAATACTAGTGTCAGGTAGTAATAAAAGACACATTGCACACAAATTCCCGAAGAAAAATAGCTCATTATGTCTTGTTAATACTGTACAGTGACAGTCTTGGGAGAGCCGCTGTTTCTCTACGCTCGGACAGCCCGCCCACTCCAACAGTGGCGGAGCCAGGACATTTTCAGTGGGGTGGCCAGGATGGAACCAGTGATCATTTTGGGGTGGCATTGAAATCACTATTATATGAACATAAAAATACATCTCACTATAAAATAAGGGGTTATTTAAGGCACCTACAACACACCTCTACATTATTTGGGATTAAGCTAGTGGTGGAATAGATAAAATAATATTCAGTATATCTAACTATTTTTTTCGTATTCCCACAGGCAAAGTATCAACAAAGCTTACATTATACAAATGTAATGCAATATACAGACTGTTTAGCTTATGGTGATCAGCAGCACTATGAGCTCATTCTCTCAGTGTATCATCAGGAATACAGAGACACACACACATCATTTAAATAAGAGTTTTTAAATTCAATTATTGGTTAAGAATAAACATCTTAAAGTAAATAACAATAAACAATAGCCCTTAACCCTGTAAGGCCCCCGGTTGTAATTTTACAACATTACTTATCCAAAAAAGTCAGTAAATGTTTTTGTTTTTTTAAAAGACTACATTTACATAGTCAAAAGGTCCTTTTGTTTTTTTGTTTTGTATTGGGAATGGGTAGTAAATGTGTTTATAGGTCCTGCCCTCTGGCCATACATATAAGACTAACATTCCTGACAATAGATCCCAATAGTCATCTTTTATGGTGTAAATGCCTTTTTAATAATAACATTTTTGAATGGAACATTCTCAACACGAATGCATCAATCCAAATAAATATAACTTAAATATGTGGGAAAATACTGTGTTTGAAATGTATAATTGAAATGAGATGTTAGCTTTTTGTTTTGATATATATATATATTGTATTCCAGTCTCCCTTCAGATATGTTAAGTGGCATGTAATTCAACACAATGCTGCTCACCTCCTTCAGTTGGGAGAAAAGCTGGTTCAGGTTCAGCATTATGGGGGGACAGGGCTGCTGAGCCTAGAGATGGATCTGCTGGTCCTGGCACCAGGGGGAGGGACAACTGATTTAGTATGAATAGCTGCTAAAAATCTACCTGCATTTATTAAATGTCAGCTAAAAGAGCAGTGAAATTAAAAACCTCTGCATTTTCTATATAGATATTAACAGTACTTAATGTCAGCTTAGTAAAAAAAAACAACATAAAAATTATTATTTAATGGACTACGCTTAGCTAACAGACTAATTTCCACCACTCATGGACCACACCCACCTTTTCTCTTGAAATACTGGGTGACATACTGTCACCCTTTAGTCCCTCTCTCTTTTCTTTCTCTCCTTTCTTTTCTTTTTGAAAGCCTGACTTTTGCGGCTTTCACACCAGCGCTTTTCCCTTTCTAGCTCCGAGCTAGAGCTTTTCTGGTTCAGCTCCGGTTTCCCTTTTCTGCTCCCGCTCTTTTCACACCGCCCAGAGCTGCCGCTGCTGCGTCATGACGTCACCGTTTACATCGCTGATTTTCTCCCCAACGGAGCTCACAACAATAACAACAACGGGGGACTGCGTCGGGTCGATGATCGTGTTGCTTTTAATCACACGAAGCCAGATTAAATTAAATAACGACTTCTCCAACCTTATACTTTTCTCCAGAGTGCCGTGGTTCATTGTTTATTAATGTGTTTCAGTGACATTTACCAACCGCTGCAGTGCTGGCTGCTCTTCCACGGGAGTTTATTCTCCCGTTAGCTCCGGGTTAGCTCACACGGCTCTAAAGTATTCACTGTCTGACTGTGACACAAGCAGCTGATACATATCCCCAGTTCTCCTTAAAGTGGACCTATCATGCTATATTTGAATAATATAGTGTAGGACCATACCTATATAAGGCATATTTATACTTTTTTTTTTTCAAAATACCAAACAGATCATGCATTTTAGCCATGCCTCATTTTGCTCAATTTGACATTTTTTAGATCTGTTTTAGCAAGGGTTGATTCTGTGAGCAACAGCACCATCTAGAGGCCTGGCATATGTACTACAGCGTCTCCAGCGCTTTCGAACGGCAATGCCGTGGTTGTCTCCTCCTGATTGGTGGAGTTGGCCCAATAGCCGTAGCGCCACCGTCCTGACGTCAGGAAAGTGTTCAAATCTGGATCAGTTTTTATCAGATCCGTTGCAGCCCCTTTTTTAGAGATTTGGGTATGGAGGAAAATAGAGAGGGTTGTGTTTTCTGACACTTGGTGAGTTCTCTGGAACACCGGGGACACATATTCATGTATAAAAGACGTACAAAAGTGCATTTTGCATGATAGGTCCCCTTTAAGTGAATGTGTGTCAGTCTGAATTGACGCTGTTTGGCATCACAACGCTGTTATGAAAGTTTCTCTGGTATAACATGGGTGATGTTAGCATAGCAACCGAAGCTAAACTGACTACTTGCTAAGCCGTTTTCTTCAGGCACATTTTACCGGCGTATTTTTCATTATGATTCTACTTGTGATAGTCGGACATGACAACCTGTGCAGCCCATGTATTGATTCCATCCGATAGCTGCTATAATACAAAACAAAACGTCTGCCTGCTCTCCACAATGATCAATAACAGCGAACGGATGGCCAAAGTAAGGTACAAATAAACAGAATCACACGAAGCCTGGTTAGTGTTGCCTGACTTTATAAAGTGTGTTTTTTTTTATAAGTGTGTGGTTGCCTTCTAGTCACTTTGCTCAGCGCTACTGCTTGTAGGCAGGCATGACGAGACTCTTCAGTCGACCCATGTTCAGGGTAGGTGGGTTTAGTTTCCTGCACGCCTCGACGTAAGAGAGACGTAAGCGACGCCGCCTCTAGCTCCGAAGCTCTTGCCTCTTGACATTGAGACATGGCACACACATAACTACTAGCATCCCTGCTCACATGCTCTCACTCTCTGCTAGAAAGTGCCGTTTGGAGGCGGAGGCGGGACCAAACCATTACATGTAAATAGAAGGGGGTGTACAGAGGCTTTGGATAATGAACTTTTGGAAGAAAATAAGTTAAATGAATTGTAAGTTTAGTGAGTACATTATCAATATAACGTTATATTAATGTTAATTATTGATGAATGATGAAAGGTTACTTAAACATTTTTTTCTTAATGTTCTAAAATTGTTTGGGCCCCCATGGTGAGGGTGTTTGGGGTGGCCAATAGGGTGGCCAGGATTCAGCTGGCGGCCACCCCCAGCCACCCCCCAGCTCCGCCACTGCGACTCCAAACACTCCATTGGACAGTACGACTGTAGACTTCCAATCACATGCGAGAGTACAGTGACTGTAGAGTCTACACAGTGACTGTAGACTTTGCACGAACTTCAAATGTAGGAATCTCGACTGCATAATTTGAGGTAGTGGGGGACTGCGTTCGCGCTCTCCCCCTGATATATTGAACATTAACAATGGAAGATGCATCTAATGCAAACATGTTGTATGCCTCTAAATCTCAAGTGGTTCGTCAATATAGTTCTGAGAAGGTGATGACTTTTAGTGGCAGTAGGAATTTATTCGACCTAACTTGTGTGCATCTAGGCCTATTTCATAACAAGCAGACCTGTGACAATATTACTTATATATCCTCACATTCATTTTGATAAAACAAATAAACATTAAGATAATCCTGCTGTTATTAACTAACAATCACAGAAACGGTCTCTCTGTTGTTAAAAAAACCCCGCTATGGAAGTAAACTGTCCATCACTGAATAATCTGAGAATAATTTACTATCCTTTGCCATTTTCCAGAGACAGAAAATGAATACATACAAATGCACTGGGTAACTCCATTTTGGCTAAAAGGAGCTGTTTTAGTTTGTCACTAAAGGCATACTGCCCCAAGAGTTGAAGTTGAAAATGGTCTTTACATTAGTCAGGGGTCGTCCGTTTACTCAATCATGGAAAGGAACAGGTTGGTAACCATTTGATTAAAGAAGCCTGTTTCATACACAAGTGTGTCCTTTATATTAAAGCCAGGTTTTAAAAAATAAATTATGTATTTCGCCTTGTTATAAGACATTTACATTTTTGGCACCATCAGTTAGCATGGTTTGTCTGTGAATGGGTTTCCCATCTCACCCCGGTACAACTCATACTTACCTGGCAGGGGGGTCTCCATGATCACTAAGGTGGATCCCCTACGGCGAGGCGCGGCCATTGCACTGACGGCTGCGCTGACCTGTACGAATCCCTCAAATGTAGGAATCTCGACTGCATAATTTGTGGTAGTGGGGGACTGCGTTCGCGCTCTCCCCTGATAACATGTAAAAGTAAACGATGGAAGAACTTGCAGCTAGCGCAAGCAGAAGGCTTGCACTTAAGGAACTCAGGTGGTTATGATCAGACTCACTTTGAGATGTTGATGACTTATAATGGCAGCAGGAATGTATTCGACCTGATTTACTTGTGTGCAACTATTTAATAACAAGCAGAGGAAGTATCTGTGACAATATTACTTATATATCCTCACTTTCATTTTGATAAAACACATTTACATCAAGAGAGTCCTGCTGTAATCATCTAACTCTGTGTCTCTGTTGTTAATAGAATAGCTATGGATATAAACTGTCCGTCACTGAATAATCTGTGAATGATACACCAGCAAACGAGCGACGAAGTGGTGGGGTAAAAACTCAGTTGACAGCGAAAAACACACAAATTAATACTGTCAGGTATTAATAAAAGACACATTGCACACAAATTCCCGAAGAAAAATAGCTCATTATGTCTTGTTAATACTGTACAGTGACAGTCTTGGGAGAGCCGCTGTTTCTCTACGCTCGGACAGCCCGCCCACTCCAAACACTCCATTGGACAGTACGACTGTAGACTTCTAATCACATGCGAGTACAGTGACTGTAGACCAGGGGTGGGAAATTATTTTTTCCATGGGGCCACATGAGAAACTGAAAATATTGTGGAGGGCCGGGCCAAAAGGCTGAACTAAATTCTGCATAATATTAATTGTATTTCTTTATAAAAAGCAGTAAATAGCATTGTTTTGACAAGCTGGTAAGAGTATATGTTATAGTTAAGCAATGAAAAAGTGAGGTTGCCTTACAAAAAAATGTCATTTATTAAATCAAATTTCCCAAAACAATGGTAAACAAAATGAACGTTTTTCACCATTTGTGACTCATATTAGTGAACATTTTCAGTCACATTCACTCAAACACATTTTGAGTTTCATTTACTGTTGGAAAGAAGTTCTTAGCATTCTAAAGACATCACAATATTGTCTTTGTACTCCAAATATTAAGCAAGATACATCATATTGAACTGTCACTAAACATCACTGTGATTTTGAGAAAAAGGCTTCCAAAGAAAGTGTCCCAGTTCACTGCTAGTTGGTGCCTTTACATGCCAACACCTCATTTGGTGTTTTTAAGTTCTCTTTTCTTGTTCAGTGAGAGAAATCTAGTCTCTGCTGGGCTTTAACGAGTGCATCGAAGTCAGGTTGAATGTCTGAGGTGGAGATGCGAAGCACAGCTGACAGATGATCATCAGTGAGAGAGGATCTATACCTGGATTTCGTAAACTTCATAATTGAAAATGTTTGTTCACATATGTAGGTCGAGCCAAAGAGAACCAACATCTTCTGAGCATGTCTCCTCATGTTTGGAAAGTTCTCCTCCTTGAGAGAAGAGTAGAAATCCAGCAGAGATCCTGACTTAAAGTGCTCTGCCAGTACTGCATCAGACTGCAGGTCGATGAGTTTCAGCTGAACATCACTGGGTGCATTATCCACACTGCAGGTAAAGGGAGAGGAAATCAGGTGCATTTCATCCTCGATTTTTCTGAGATTTTCAAATCGCCTTAAAAACTCACCATGCAATGCTCCCAACATGGATGAGTACCTGCGGAGGTGATCAGCTGATGGTGTGACTTCTTTCAGGGTTTGCATGTGAGTGAGAGTGTTGCTCTCCAGTTGGCTTGAAAGAAACTGCATCTTTGTCATGAAAGCCTTCACCAGGCTGTGCATTTCATGAACAAAAAGGCCCTTGCCTTGCAGTTTGGTGTTCAGTTCATTCATCAGTGCAGTCACATCAACAGCAAATGCAAAATCTGCCATCCAGTCCTCATCTGAGAGCTCTGGGAAGTCTTTGTCTTTCTTCTCACAAAACTCTCGAATCTCTGCTTTCAGGTCCCAAACTCTTTTTAGCACTTTGCCCAGGCTGAGCCATCTGATAGCTGTGTGGTAGCCGATGTCACGATGCTCAGTCTCATGCTCCTCCAAAAGTGCGATAAACTGTCTGTGGTTCAAAGCTCTTGCCCTGATGAAGTTTACTATTTTAGTAACAACATCAATAACATGGTTAATTTTTAGCACTGACTTGCACAACACATGTTGGTGTATAATACAATGCAAAAATACCAGTTTCTGATCCGTGTCGATTTCAGTCACTTTATTTTGCATACGTTTCAAAAGTCCGATAAGATTTGGACAACCGTCCGTTGTGACACCTGCCAGTCTGTCCCATTTCAGTCCCAGCGTGTCCATGCACTCGTTTACCTCCGTGAACAGATCGCTCCCTGTCGTCGTCCCTTTCATCGACCGCATTGCTGCCAGCTCCTCCGTAATCTTGAAGTCCGGTGTTATCCCGCGGACGAATACGAGTAACTGGGCTGTGTCGCGGACATCACAGCTCTCGTCCAAAGCCAAGGAGAAAAAGTTGTAACTTGCCACTTCACGTTGCAGCTGAAGCTCCAGATTCCCCGCAATGTCCTCGATCCTTCTAGTCACGGTTCGCCTGGACAGCGGGACTTGCTCAAATGCGGCTTTTTTTTCAGGGCATATTAGTGCTGCAGAGTCCACCAAGCACTCTTTGACAAACTCCCCCTCCGAGAACGGCTTACTGTTTTTAGCGATTTTGTGGGATATCACAAAGCTGGTCTTGGTTGCTGCATCACTGGATGTGTGAAGCTTGGTAAAAAAGCCTTGCTGCTTTTGCAGCTTAGCTAGCAAAGCTTCCGATGTCCGCGCCCTTTTAGCGTCAGTCAAGTTTTTATATTTCTCCGCGTGTTTCGTCTCGTAATGCTGACTCACATTGTACTCCTTAAACACGGCGATCTGCTCCCCGCAAACTAAACACACGGTTTTACCTCCGACTTCAGTAAATAAATACTTAGCAGTCCAATTTTTGTTGAAAACCCTGCATTCAGCATCTACCTTTCTTTTTTTAGCGGACATTTTGAGGGCTAAAGTCGTCTTGTGACAAGGATCCAATAATGTGCACGTCTTGATATACGTATTGCGTCATTATGCACGTGAATAAAAAACAACTTCAAAATAAAAGCAATGCAGCTTTAGTCCATGCATGAGGTAAAGTTAGAAAATATGTTTATTTTGTAATTTCCAATTAGCCTTACACGGGCCGGTCAGAGTCAACCAAAGGGCCGTATGTGGCCCGGGGGCCGTACAATGCCCAGGTCTGCTGTAGACAGTTAAGCCTTCTGATTTGCCAAATGTCTACAGTCGGAGTCCTGCCTCCAAACTCCATTGGACAGTACGACTGTAGACTTCCAATCGGATGGAAATGAGTGTAGACATTTGTCGAATCAGAAGGCTTAACTGTCTACAGCAGGGGTGTCAAACTCAAATACACAGTGGGCCAAAATTAAAAATTGGGTACTAGTCGAGGGCCAGACTGGTTCAATGTTTATTGCAAAACGTATTGAAATGAACTTATTGCACATATTAAACCTGGAACTAACAAAGCTTAAATGATTGCCTATAAAAACAACATTAAACATTAAATAATCAGTTGCATTCATTTCTTATGGCTCTATCTGCAGAGTCATTTCTTATGATTACATTTTTCCACAGGCCAACAACAGCTTCAAAAAAACAATTTCCCTCAAAGAAAAAAACAAACATGCCCTGATGTCACAAGAAAAAAAGTGCAAAAGGAAACATCCATTGAAACTCAGTTTGCTGCTCTGAGATGCTAGTTCAAGCCAGATACTTGGCATCTCATCATGCAAGTTCATCAATGTTTGGGGTCAGGCTATGAGCTGAGGAGATCCTCAGGATTGAGTGAAGGTGTGCGTGCAATATACCGGCGGGCCAGATCTAATAGTAATTACAAATTATCCTGCGGGCCGAAATTAAATCCACCAAGGGCCTGATTTGGCCCCCGGGCCTTGAGTTTGACACATGTGGTCTACAGTGACTGTAGACTTTGCACGAACTTCAAATGTAGGAATCTCGACTGCATCATTTGTGGTAGTGGGGGACTGCGTTCGCGCTCTCCCCCTGATATATTGAACATTAACAATGGAAGATGCATCTAATGCAAACATGTTGTATGCCTCTAAATCTCAAGTGGTTCATCAATATAGTTCTGAGAAGTTGATGACTTTTAGTGGCAGTAGGAATTTATTCGACCTAACTTGTGTGCATCTACATGTAGGCCTATTTCATAACAAGCAGAGGAAGTACCTGTGACAATATTACTTATATATCCTCACATTCATTTTGATAAAAACAAATACACATTAAGATAATCCTGCTGTTATTAACTAACAATCACAGAAACGGTCTCTCTGTTGTTAAAAAAACCCGCTATGGAAGTAAACTGTCCATCACTGAATAATCTGAGAATAATTTACTATCCTTTGCCATTTTCCAGAGACAGAAAATTAATACATACAAATCATCCATTTTGGCTCAAAGGAGCTGTTTTAGTTTGTCACCAAAGGCATACTGCCCCAAGAGTTGAAATTGAAAATGGTCTTTACATTAGTCAGGGGTCGTCCGTTTACTCAATAATAGAAAGGAACAGGTTGGTAACCATTTGATTAAAGAAGTATGTTCCTCCCGTTGGACGTGGATAACTCTGGTTGGAAACATAAGTATCATTATAATGATATAGCTGACTCTCCTTCAGTTTCCTGTCAGAGAACTTGGACATTTAGACAAGATATTATTGAAAACATCAGGCAAAACTCAAATAATAATGGTCATCCCTAATACACAAGTGTGTCCTTTATATTAAAGCCAGGTTTAAAAAAATAAATGATGTATTTCGCATTGCTATAAGACATTTACGTTTTTGGCACCATCAGTTAGCATGGTTTGTCTGTGCATCGGTATCCCATCTCACCCCGGTACAACTCATACTTACTAGTGATGGGAATTATGGCTCTTTGAAGGGAGCCGGATCTTATGGCTCCGTTCCTTTCAAAGAGCCGTTCAAAAGAGCCGTTCAAAAGAGCCGTTTTTTTAAGGTTACTAGGTTTATCTGCAAAATAATCACCAGGATAATGATTGACTGTATTGCCAGACCTAATGTCAATAATCGGCATTGTAAACATGACACAAGGTGGCGCCATATCCATGTCATCATGTCAGTGAATGTACTTTGAATTTACCCTCTGTATGTGTTAAGTAAATAAAGTTGCCTTGCCTTGAATGAAATTCATGCAACTCTTAATATTAGATACTGTGTTTTTAAGTGGCGATGGAGATTATTTGTTGATCCTGCTTTAAAGGATATTTTGCCTTTACAAATGGTGCGCTTTATCACTGCCTGGGTTTTGGTTGAAGTGAATCCAAATGCTGCTGCGTTTTCGCGTTTGGCTCATTTACCATCCGAAAAACACGTTGTCTACCTGTCCTGTACCACTTGTTATGACTTCTCTCTCTCGCGTATTCCGTTAAGACCCACCCCATCTCACTCCTCGTGCTGAAACCTACCAAACAGAGTAGGGGCGGATCTTCACAGAATACGTTTGGGGAACAAAATCAAGCTTTTTAAAAGGCGAGTGGATTTTGGCAGGCAGTGAGTGCGGACCAACGATTGAACGATAACAAGAACGGCTCTCACAAAGTAGGACTCGGTTCCCCTCGTTCGTACCAAAGAGCCGTTCAAAAGAATCGGCTCGTTCGCGACCGACACATCACTAATACTTACCTGGCAGGGGGGCCTCCATGATCACTAAGGTGGATCCCCTACGGCGAGGCGCGGCCATTGCACTGACGGCTGCGCTGACCTGTACGAATCCCTCAAATGTAGGAATCTCGACTGTATAATTTGTGGTAGTGGGGGACTGCGTTCGCGCTCTCCCCTGATAACATGTAAAAGTTAACGATGGAAGAACTTGCTACTACCGCAAACAGAAGGCTTGCACTTAGGGAACCCAGGTGGTTATGATCAATGATTCACTTTGAGATGTTGATGACTTTTAATGGCAGCAGGAATGTATTCGACCTATACTTGTGTGCAACTATTTAATAACAAGCAGAGGAAGTATCTGTGACAATATTACTTATATGTCCTCACTTTCATTTTGATAAAACACATTTACATCAAGAGAATCCTGCTGTAATCATCTAACTCTATGTCTCTGTTGTTAATAGAACAGCTATGGATATAAACTGTCCGTCACTGAATAATCTGTGAATGATACACCAGCAAACGAGTGACGAAGTGGTGGGGTAAAAACTCAGTTGACAGCGAAAAACATACAAATGAATACTGTCAGGTAGTAATAAAAGACACATTGCACACATTCCCGAAGAAAAATAGCTAATTATGTCTTGTTAATACTGTACAGTGACAGTCTTGGGAGAGCCGCTGTTTCTCTACGCTCGGACAGCCCGCCCACTCCAAACACTCCATTGGACAGTACGACTGTAGACTTCCAATCACATGCGAGTACAGTGACTGTAGACAGTTAAGCCTTCTGATTTGCCAAATGTCTACAGTCGGAGTCCCGCCTCCAAACTCCATTGGACAGTACGACTGTAGACTTCCAATCGGATGGAAATGACTGTAGACATTTGTCGAATCAGAAGGCTTAACTGTCTACACACAGTGACTGTAGACTTTGCACAAACTTCAAATGTAGGAATCTCGACTGCATCATTTGTGGTAGTGGGGGACTGCGTTCGCGCTCTCCCCCTGATATATTGAACATTAACAATGGAAGATGCATCTAATGCAAACATGTTGTATGCCTCTAAATCTCAAGTGGTTCATCAATATAGTTCTGAGAAGTTGATGACTTTTAGTGGCAGTAGAAATTTATTCGACCTAACTTGTGTGCAACTATTTCATAACAAGCAGAGGAAGTACCTGTGACAATATTACTTATATATCCTCACATTGATTTTGATAAAAAAAACAAATAAACATTAAGATAATCCTGCTGTTATTAACTAGCAATCACAGAAACTGTCTCTCTGTTGTTAAAAAAACCCGCTATGGAAGTAAACTGTCCATCACTGAATAATCTGAGAATAATTTACTATCCTTTGCAATTTTCCAGAGACAGAAAATGAATACATACAAATGCACTGGGTAACTCCATGTTGGCTCAAAGGAGCTGTGACAGAGTTGAAATTGAAAATGGTCTTTACATTAGTCAGGGGTCGTCCGTTTACTCAATAATAGAAAGGAACAGGTTGGTAACCATTTGATTAAAGAAGTATGTTCCTCCCGTTGGACGTGGATAACTGGTTGGAAACATAAGTATCATTATAATGATATATATATATATATATAGCTGACCTATCATGCAAAATGCACTTTTGCACGTCTTTTATACATGAATATGTGTCCCCGGTGTTCCAGGGAACTCACCAAGTGTCAGAAAACACAACCCTCTCTATTTTCCTCCATACCCAAATCTCTAAAAACGGGGCTGCAACGGATCTGATCAAAACTGATCCAGATTTGAACACGTTACTGACGTCAGGAAGGTGGCGCTACGGCTATTGGGCCAACTCTCCACCTATCAGGGGAATGTGGGGTTGGGCCACGGCCGGCCATTGCCGCTCGAAAGCGCTGGAGACGCTGTAGTACATATGCCAGGCCTGTAAGTGGCGCTGTAGTCTGCCACAAAAGTAGCGAAGAAGACTTCCCGCGCATGGTTGCCATGGTTGCCCTTCTGTTTATTCTCCGCTGTGGCTTTTTTTCTCCCTCCCCGAGGCAAGCGTTTGCTCCTGCTGCTTTAATGCAATCCCTCCTCGTCGAGGCAAGCACTGTAATTCTCTCCGGTTAGTCCACCAGTAGATGACAAACACCCACCTCTCCGCCTCTTCCAAGGAACGAGGGGACCGTGCGGCAGAGTTTCAGTTAGGTTTTCTTTCGCCGGTCAAGATGTCCGTTAAAGTTTAAATCTTCCGGACAAAATTAGAAAAGTGCCGGTCAAAGGTCTTCTTTGTTATTTATTGAGCTTTAAAGCTCCCATGTCATGCTTTTCCGGTTATTACCTGTCCCCTTGTGTGTTATGAAGGTTTGTATGCATGTAAACGGTGTGCAGAGTCAAAACCCTCAAAGTACACCCTGTAGCGAGTAAAACTCTAACACAGAAAATACCTCCCCAAAACACCTCGTTGGAGATACGTCACTGCCCAGAGCTATGGCCACACCCAGCGGCGCTGGCCGCACCCTCTGCCAGCCTAACATTTACTGTTGGAAGCTCTGGTTCAGTTCACAATCGATCCAGTCATGCCACTGGCAAGGACCTGTTTCCTGAAATGTGAGGAGAAATCTGAGCTGTTTGTCCTACCGACGGAAGAACCACGACGAAGTCAGTGGTTGAAATGTCTTTTTAACACTGTTCCTTCAGAGGTTTGAAAAACCGGCATTTCACAGACGAAAGCTTCCAAAACATTGCCCAGTTTGAAGCCGGATATGCACAGCATTTGAAACTGAAGAACGATGCTATTCGTAGTTTGTTTGGACCGTTTGGAGCAGGGGAAGATCTGGGTATACAACCTGTAAGTTTGCATTGTTATTTGTGTATTTATCAAACAAGACTGTTTAAATGTGTAAACTGTGTTGGACTGCTAAGCCATTGACACAGTGCTAACTGTGCTAACTAAGTTGCTAGAGTTTCCATATATCAACTCTAATATCAGCAGATGGCCTTGCATACATGTATCTCATAGCAGGAGAATGTCTGCATTCACACACAAAATACCTATTGACAGTATACTCCGGGTGATTTGCCGGTCAGTCGCGAAACATAATTACATTATAGCTGGCGTAGCGATCTAACACACGGAGCTAGAGCTAGTTTTGGTCGGAAAAACATTTTTGTGATGCTACGTTGCTAGCGTTTAAATATATCAACTACAATGTCAGCAGATGGCCTTACATGTTTGTCATGGCAGGAGAATGTCTGCAGTCACACACACGGAATACTCATACAGTATACTGTACTGTGATTTACCGTACATTGTGACCGTACATATACTGCATGTAGCTAACGAGGCTAGCTGTATGCTAGCGCAAAACAATGTATTCATGCAAGTTACATTGTATGGTAGCAGAATACCCGTATACGATTGCAATTATAAACACGTTATTGCTAGCCTAATATGAACCACTAGCTTTTGTTCATAGTAGTTTTATTACACTGCATTATAGTTGCCTTTCCTCCAAGCTAACGTTCATATCGTGTTAGCTACCAAGGTAAACAAAGCTAGGTTAGCATATTAGCAGGCAAGCTGTTCATTACACAACTACTACTAACGAATCTAAAACAACTAAGTTTCTCTAATATTTTGTGATTTGCATTTGATTTCGTCCAGCCAGATCCTGGCGGACAATCCATGACGGGGAAGGGACTTCGACTACTACTGAGGCCTCGTGCTAAAAGGCACCGCACCGACTGTGCGCAGGCAAGATGCGAGGAGGAGGAATGAATGATATACCGTGTGTATATATGTATATTTATGTTCATTTTGTACATTTCTAAAAATAAAGTTTAATGGAAATACTTAGTAGGCCTATCCTTTCTTCCCTGAATTCATATATAGCAAACCATGATTTGATTTCTCATCAAACAGTAGTAGTTTATAACGGGTAAAAATAACTTACTCTTTGTTATGAGAGTGGCTCGTAGGCCACAACGGAAAGACAAGGAGACATACACGAGTTTACAAAACCACGGCACATTTATTGTGGTAAATGCAGAGATAGGTGGTTGAGAGGATCGCAGAGTTAGTCTTCCTGCAGCCGCTTTGGAGAGAGACTGGGGCCGTCGTGTCCGGAGGTGTCCGTGATCGTGCGGATTAGCCTCTTCAGCTCCACCCCATCGTAAGACAAAGGCCCTGGGGCCGTCACACTCTTCTATAACAACAGTTAAAAATATATATGTATATAAAATATACCGCTGTACCGACGCCATGATAAGACTGATGTTACGCTGAGAGCAGCCGGGAAAAGCACTGACATGGGCGCAGCCTCTCTGGTGGTTGACTAATCAGAACGAGTGGCCGAGCTGACCAATCGGAGCACACTAGGCTCACAGGGAGGGGGGGGGGCAAGAGCTCCAACGAGTCGTTTAGTGGAGAAAGTGAATACTGCTGAATACACATGCTTGACAGAGATGCTGTATGCGAAACCAATGTGAGTTTGGAAAATTGCACAGTATAAATCTATTTTAGTATACCTCAACAATGTAATTATGATCAGTGGAAATGGCCATGACATGGGCCCTTTAAGTTAAAAAAATGACCCTATTCACCTGGGGTGTCTCGCCTTAACTGGAAGAAAAATGTTTTCCTTGTTGTAACGCACAGGGGAACCGTACACCCAGACTCAGAAGCTGCTGTAGTCAGTTGTGATATCACTTAGGCTATGTCTTCATATTATTACTAATGAGAATACTTGGGGAAATTATCAGTGCATGTAGACTTCCAATCTGTTGTGCACCGTCAAAAGTGCTAAGTCAGTCATGTTTCATGTTGTTGTTGGTCATTCTTGTATTGTCTTTCACTTCCTGTTTTGTTTTGACACTAACTTGTTACGTCTCATTCCAGGTTCCTTGACTCCCTTCTCTAGTGTGTTTTTCCCGCGTTCATCAGCACCAGCCTGATTGTTTTCACCTGTGCCCAGTTATCTCCTGTTTATATTCCCCAGTTTCCCTTTGTTTGTTGTCAGTTCGTCTTGTCCTATCCTCATGCCAGAACTCTGCTCATCAGCGTTTGCTCTTTTGATTCAAGCCTATTTTTTGCTCCTGAAACTTATTATAAGTTTATTTCCTCACGTTGTGAGCGATTTTCTGTTGTACCTTGTTTAAGCCTTTTTTGTCATCTCGTAAGAGTGATTTTATTTTGTTACCTTTTGTGCAAATAAAGTATATTAATTATACTTTACCTCTGGCTCCCGGGTCGTGCATTTGAGTCCTTATCCTTGTGTATCCAAGTTCGTAACACAATCACATGCGAGTACAGTGACTGTAGACAGTTAACCTGTTAAGCCCTCAACACACTCTCACTCCCATGGGAAATATGAGCGTTGTGGTTCAACGGTTCAACCGATCTGAATCGCTTCCTGAAGCAGTCACTTGGTATCGACAGGCAGCGAGGCTTCGTTTGTCATTGATGACGTCACTGGCCCAAAACGATACAAGCCTCGATACAAGCTTCACAAAAAGCTTCGGGGATTACTCGACACACGCTCCAAAGCCTCGGCGCAATACGTAGCATCACTAATTATCAGTTATCATTTAAAAGTGACACAGACACATTGGATTAACCTATGGATTAACCTTCAGCAGCGTTTTTATCGTTTTAATGCCATTGAACGCGACTTTTGATCAGAATAACAGCTAAGGTGAGACGATCTCCCGTGAATGCTCCGTAATGCTACGTGTTGTGATGTCTGTGTTTGCTTCCGCTGTCGCGAGTTCTGATTGCTCAGTAATGATACTAATACCTATAGAATCCGTGGAATCTCAGCTTTAATCTGATATATTGTATGTGCAGTTACGATAAGTAACAAGGGTATTTTTACCTTGAGTTCTGAGCTAAGTGCGTTAGCATTTTTTCGCTCATTTAGACGCTTCTTGTGAGACTTGTGTTTTGTTTCGGTAAAAATGGTTCGTATTGTCAGTTAGCTGAGTTTCTTCCCGTTAAATGGGTATGACACATTAATAGGTTTTTAAATATTAAGAAGCCCTGAGACACAGTTTCGTGAAAAAACACCCCGCAACACCTTAACAGGTTAAGCCTTATGATTTGCCAAATGTCTACAGTCGGAGTCCCGCCTCCAAACTCCAATCGGCCTTATCGAAGTGCAATTGTAAGTGACGCCATTGGCCCACATTTTTTGAAAAAAAATGACATTTGACCCACTGACCTACATAACCACGGATCTTTTACATATTGACAGAATGGCAATGAGGATATTAGCTCCCTCATGTGGTCAAAGTGTGATGTGAACACCTTCATGTTGTTGTCAATCAATCAGTTTATATAGTTATAAATATACTAGGTCTATTTTCACCAAATGTATTAAGAAGTGAGCACCTTGCATTTAATTGAGTGCTCTTATGAGGTGAATCCAGAAGATAGCATTACTGTTTTCTCTCATTATTAATTGTGCTTGTATTTCATATCTTTAGTGTGAAAGTGAAAATGTCATTTTATGCATCACAATGACTTTTTGTATACTTATTTATGAGCATTAACTAAATGTATGTATTCAATATGTGTGAAATTGGACCTTTAAAATGTGCTGCTATAACAACACAATATCAACTATTCTTTTTCAAAGTATATCATTGTTGTGATTTATTCCCATTACTGTAGTGTTTTTTTTTCAATCAGATGTGAGAATTCTTTCTTCTCCTTAATGACATGTATTTACATGTCACTGCTATCTTTGTAAAGGCACAGACTTTTGTATTATATGTATCTATTCCATATGTGAGTATTTGTATAAATAAGTTCTACATAATTCATGATATTTATTCATTAATCTACTTATTGTTTCCATTGAAATAAAGCTTATTTCATTCAAATAAATGTGTCTTTTCTTCAGTGACATATCTTTATGGATTTCCTTATGACTGTTGAGAGTCTGATTTTAAAAGTGATTTAATATTTCTGAGTCTGACTCAAGCAACTTAAATGTTTGCTTTTGGGCAAAGTCATCTGAACATTTTGTACTGTGTCCTTTCATGCAACTTGTGGCACTCTACCTTTGTCCCTATATTTAGATAAACAAATGAATCTCCATTATTGCATTTAATAATTCATATTTCACGACTCACTGTTACTGTAGTACTGACCACTTTATTGTATAAAGTCAAGTGCATTCAATTGAAAACACCATAGTAGAACCGCAGTGACGCGTCCTAAAAGCCGGAAGTAAGCTGCGCACGGGTTCCTTCGACAAAAATGCAATGCAATTTCTCCATAGGATTTTGGAAAATAGCTCGAAATAAGGTCTGTGGTTGACACACAATAGAGACGGATCACGTTTTGTTCAGCTGGATAATCTCCACATGTCTACCCTACTTTTATAATTTTCGAATCATAAATCTAATCGATAGCCAGGTTTTAAATATATAAATAAATGATGTATTTCGCCTTGATATAAGACATTTACGTTTTTGGCACCATCAGTTAGCATGGTTTGTCTGTGAATAGGTATGCCATCTCACCCCGGTACAATTCATACTTACCTGGCAGGGGGGTCTCCATGATCACTAAGGTGGATCCTCTACGGCGAGGCGCGGCCATTGCACTGACGGCTGCGCTGACCTGTACGAATCCCTCAAATGTAGGAATCTCGACTGCAAAATTTGTGGTAGTGGGGGACTGCGTACGCGCTCTCCCCTGATAACATGTAAAAATTAACGATGGAAGAATTTACAGCCAGCGAAAACAGACACATTCATTTTTATCAAAACAAATAAACATTAAGATAATCCTGCTGTAATTAACTAACAATCACAGAAACTGTCTCTCTGTTGTTAAAAAACCCCCGCTATGGAAGTAAACTGTCCATCACTGAATAATCTGAGAATAATTTACTATCCTTTGCCATTTTCCAGAGACAGAAAATTAATACATACAAATGCACTGGGTAACTCCATTTTGGCTAAAAGGAACTGTTTTAGTTTGTCACCAAAGGCATACTGCCCCAAGAGTTGAAATTGAAAATGGTCTTTACATTAGTCAGGGGTCGTCCGTTTACTCAATAATAGAAAGGAACAGGTTGGTAACCATTTGATTAAAGAAGCCTGTTTCATACACAAGGGTGTCCTTTATATTAAAGCCAGGTTTTAAAAAATAAATTATGTATTTCGCCTTGTTATAAGACATTTACATTTTTGGCACCATCAGTTAGCATGGTTTGTCTGTGAATGGGTTTCCCATCTCACCCCGGTACAACTCATACTTACCTGGCAGGGGGGTCTCCATGATCACTAAGGTGGATCCCCTACGGCGAGGCGCGGCCATTGCACTGACGGCTGCGCTGACCTGTACGAATCCCTCAAATGTAGGAATCTCGACTGCATAATTTGTGGTAGTGGGGGACTGCGTTCGCGCTCTCCCCTGATAACATGTAAAAGTAAACGATGGAAGAACTTGCAGCTAGCGCAAGCAGAAGGCTTGCACTTAAGGAACTCAGGTGGTTATGATCAGACTCACTTTGAGATGTTGATGACTTTTAATGGCAGCAGGAATGTATTCGACCTGACTTACTTGTGTGCAACTGTTTAATAACAAGCAGAGGAAGTATCTGTGACAATATTACTTATATATCCTCACTTTCATTTTGATAAAACACATTTACATCAAGAGAGTCCTGCTGTAATCATCTAACTCTGTGTCTCTGTTGTTAATAGAATAGCTATGGATATAAACTGTCCGTCACTGAATAATCTGTGAATGATACACCAGCAAACGAGCGACGAAGTGGTGGGGTAAAAACTCAGTTGACAGCGAAAAACACACAAATTAATACTGTCAGGTATTAATAAAAGACACATTGCACACAAATTCCCGAAGAAAAATAGCTCATTATGTCTTGTTAATACTGTACAGTGACAGTCTTGGGAGAGCCGCTTTTTCTCTACGCTCGGACAGCCCGCCCACTCCAAACACTCCATTGGACAGTACGACTGTAGACTTCTAATCACATGCGAGTACAGTGACTGTAGACCAGGGGTGGGCAATTATTTTTTCCATGGGGCCACATGAGAAACTGAAAATATTGTGGAGGGCCGGGCCAAAAGGCTGAACTAAATTCTGCATAATATTAATTGTATTTCTTTATAAAAAGCAGTAAATAGCATTGTTTTGACAAGCTGGTAAGAGTATATGTTATAGTTAAGCAATGAAAAAGTGAGGTTGCCTTACAAAAAAATGTCATTTATTAAATCAAATTTCCCAAAACAATGGTAAACAAAATGAACGTTTTTCACCATTTGTGACTCATATTAGTGAACATTTTCAGTCACATTCACTCAAACACATTTTGAGTTTCATTTACTGTTGGAAAGAAGTTCTTAGCATTCTAAAGACATCACAATATTGTCTTTGTACTCCAAATATTAAGCAAGATACATCATATTGAACTGTCACTAAACATCACTGTGATTTTGAGAAAAGGCTTCCAAAGAAAGTGTCCCAGTTCACTGCTAGTTGGTGCCTTTACATGCCAACACCTCATTTGGTGTTTTTAAGTTCTCTTTTCTTGTTCAGTGAGAGAAATCTAGTCTCTGCTGGGCTTTAACGAGTGCATCGAAGTCAGGTTGAATGTCTGAGGTGGAGATGCGAAGCACAGCTGACAGATGATCATCAGTGAGAGAGGATCTATACCTGGATTTCGTAAACTTCATAATTGAAAATGTTTGTTCACATATGTAGGTCGAGCCAAAGAGAACCAACATCTTCTGAGCATGTCTCCTCATGTTTGGAAAGTTCTCCTCCTTGAGAGAAGAGTAGAAATCCAGCAGAGATCCTGACTTAAAGTGCTCTGCCAGTACTGCATCAGACTGCAGGTCGATGAGTTTCAGCTGAACATCACTGGGTGCATTATCCACACTGCAGGTAAAGGGAGAGGAAATCAGGTGCATTTCATCCTCGATTTTTCTGAGATTTTCAAATCGCCTTGAAAACTCACCATGCAATGCTCCCAACATGGATGAGTACCTGCGGAGGTGATCAGCTGATGGTGTGACTTCTTTCAGGGTTTGCATGTGAGTGAGAGTGTTGCTCTCCAGTTGGCTTGAAAGAAACTGCATCTTTGTCATGAAAGCCTTCACCAGGCTGTGCATTTCATGAACAAAAAGGCCCTTGCCTTGCAGTTTGGTGTTCAGTTCATTCATCAGTGCAGTCACATCAACAGCAAATGCAAAATCTGCCATCCAGTCCTCATCTGAGAGCTCTGGGAAGTCTTTGTCTTTCTTCTCACAAAACTCTCGAATCTCTGCTTTCAGGTCCCAAACTCTTTTTAGCACTTTGCCCAGGCTGAGCCATCTGATAGCTGTGTGGTAGCCGATGTCACGATGCTCAGTCTCATGCTCCTCCAAAAGTGCGATAAACTGTCTGTGGTTCAAAGCTCTTGCCCTGATGAAGTTTACTATTTTAGTAACAACATCAATAACATGGTTAATTTTTAGCACTGACTTGCACAACACATGTTGGTGTATAATACAATGCAAAAATACCAGTTTCTGATCCGTGTCGATTTCAGTCACTTTATTTTGCATACGTTTCAAAAGTCCGATAAGATTTGGACAACCGTCCGTTGTGACACCTGCCAGTCTGTTCCATTTCAGTCCCAGCGTGTCCATGCACTCGTTTACCTCCGTGAACAGATCGCTCCCTGTCGTCGTCCCTTTCATCGACCGCATTGCTGCCAGCTCCTCCGTAATCTTGAAGTCCGGTGTTATCCCGCGGACGAATACGAGTAACTGGGCTGTGTCGCGGACATCACAGCTCTCGTCCAAAGCCAAGGAGAAAAAGTTGTAACTTGCCACTTCACGTTGCAGCTGAAGCTCCAGATTCCCCGCAATGTCCTCGATCCTTCTAGTCACGGTTCGCCTGGACAGCGGGACTTGCTCAAATGCGGCTTTTTTTTCAGGGCATATTAGTGCTGCAGAGTCCACCAAGCACTCTTTGACAAACTCCCCCTCCGAGAACGGCTTACTGTTTTTAGCGATTTTGTGGGATATCACAAAGCTGGTCTTGGTTGCTGCATCACTGGATGTGTGAAGCTTGGTAAAAAAGCCTTGCTGCTTTTGCAGCTTAGCTAGCAAAGCTTCCGATGTCCGCGCCCTTTTAGCGTCAGTCAAGTTTTTATATTTCTCCGCGTGTTTCGTCTCGTAATGTTGACTCACATTGTACTCCTTAAACACGGCGATCTGCTCCCCGCAAACTAAACACACGGTTTTACCTCCGACTTCAGTAAATAAATACTTAGCAGTCCAATTTTTGTTGAAAACCCTGCATTCAGCATCTACCTTTCTTTTTTTAGCGGACATTTTGAGGGCTAAAGTCGTCTTGTGACAAGGATCCAATAATGTGCACGTCTTGATATACGTATTGCGTCATTATGCACGTGAATAAAAAACAACTTCAAAATAAAAGCAATGCAGCTTTAGTCCATGCATGAGGTAAAGTTAGAAAATATGTTTATTTTGTAATTTCCAATTAGCCTTACACGGGCCGGTCAGAGTCAACCAAAGGGCCGTATGTGGCCCGGGGGCCGTACAATGCCCAGGTCTGCTGTAGACAGTTAAGCCTTCTGATTTGCCAAATGTCTACAGTCGGAGTCCTGCCTCCAAACTCCATTGGACAGTACGACTGTAGACTTCCAATCGGATGGAAATGAGTGTAGACATTTGTCGAATCAGAAGGCTTAACTGTCTACAGCAGGGGTGTCAAACTCAAATACACAGTGGGCCAAAATTAAAAATTGGGTACTAGTCGAGGGCCAGACTGGTTCAATGTTTATTGCAAAACGTATTGAAATGAACTTATTGCACATATTAAACCTGGAACTAACAAAGCTTAAATGATTGCCTATAAAAACAACATTAAACATTAAATAATCAGTTGCATTCATTTCTTATGGCTCTATCTGCAGAGTCATTTCTTATGATTACATTTTTCCACAGGCCAACAACAGCTTCAAAAAAACAATTTCCCTCAAAGAAAAAAACAAACATGCCCTGGTGTCGCAAGAAAAAAAGTGCAAAAGGAAACATCCATTGAAACTCAGTTTGCTGCTCTGTGATGCTAGTTCAAGCCAGATACTTGGCATCTCATCATGCAAGTTCATCAATGTTTGGGGTCAGGCTCTGAGCTGAGGAGATCCTCAGGATTGAGTGAAGGTGTGCGTGCAATATACCGGCGGGCCAGATCTAATAGTAATTACAAATTATCCTGCGGGCCGAAATTAAATCCACCAAGGGCCTGATTTGGCCCCCGGGCCTTGAGTTTGACACATGTGGTCTACAGTGACTGTAGACTTTGCACGAACTTCAAATGTAGGAATCTCGACTGCATCATTTGTGGTAGTGGGGGACTGCGTTCGCGCTCTCCCCCTGATATATTGAACATTAACAATGGAAGATGCATCTAATGCAAACATGTTGTATGCCTCTAAATCTCAAGTGGTTCATCAATATAGTTCTGAGAAGTTGATGACTTTTAGTGGCAGTAGGAATTTATTCGACCTAACTTGTGTGCATCTACATGTAGGCCTATTTCATAACAAGCAGAGGAAGTACCTGTGACAATATTACTTATATATCCTCACATTCATTTTGATAAAAACAAATACACATTAAGATAATCCTGCTGTTATTAACTAACAATCACAGAAACGGTCTCTCTGTTGTTAAAAAAACCCGCTATGGAAGTAAACTGTCCATCACTGAATAATCTGAGAATAATTTACTATCCTTTGCCATTTTCCAGAGACAGAAAATTAATACATACAAATCATCCATTTTGGCTCAAAGGAGCTGTTTTAGTTTGTCACCAAAGGCATACTGCCCCAAGAGTTGAAATTGAAAATGGTCTTTACATTAGTCAGGGGTCGTCCGTTTACTCAATAATAGAAAGGAACAGGTTGGTAACCATTTGATTAAAGAAGCCTGTTTCATACACAAGTGTGTCCTTTATATTAAAGCCAGGTTTTAAAAAATAAATTATGTATTTCGCCTTGTTATAAGACATTTACATTTTTGGCACCATCAGTTAGCATGGTTTGTCTGTGAATGGGTTTCCCATCTCACCCCGGTACAACTCATACTTACCTGGCAGGGGGGTCTCCATGATCACTAAGGTGGATCCCCTACGGCGAGGCGCGGCCATTGCACTGACGGCTGCGCTGACCTGTACGAATCCCTCAAATGTAGGAATCTCGACTGCATAATTTGTGGTAGTGGGGGACTGCGTTCGCG